TGTGGGGCTTCAGCCTCTGTGCCCAGCCCAGGGTGCCAGGGGCAGCTTTAAATCGCTTGGTCAAAATTCTGTACTGAATCAGGGCTTAAAGCGGAGTCTCAGAATTCTGTGTTATCGATCACAAGGGATTTTAAATCAGTTTGTGAAAATTCTGTACTGAATCAGGGCTTAAAGCGGAGTCTCAGAATTCTGTGTTATCGATCACAAGGGTTTTTTAACTGGATTCTCAAAATTCTGTGTTGTTGATTCCAAGGGATTTTAAATCGGTTTATCAAAATTCTCTGCTGAATCCAGGGGTTTAAAGCGGAGTCCCAAAATTCTGTGTTGTTGGTCACAAAGGTTTTTAAACTGGATTCTCAAAATTCTGTGCTGAGCCCAAGGGTTTAACCTGAATTCTCAAGATTTTGAGCCCAAGGTTTCAAGGAAGGTTTTTAAACTGGGTTCTGAAAATTCTGTGCTGAGCCCAAGGGTTTAACCTGAATTCTCAAAATTCTGAGCCCAAGGTCCCAAGGAAGGTTTTTAAACTGGGTTCTGAAAATTCTGTGCTGAATCCAAGGATTCAGGGAGCATTTTTAATCTGGATTCTCAAAATTCTGAGTCCAAGTTCTCAAGGAAGATTTTTAAGTCAGATTCTCAAAATTCTGTGTGCTTGATCCCAAGGATTTTTAAGCTGAGTTCTCAAAATTCTGAGCCCGAGAATTCAAGGAAGGGGTTTAATTGGGTTCTCAAAATTCTGAGCCCGAGAATTCAAGGAAGGGGTTTAATTGGGTTCTCAAAATTCTGAGCCCGAGAATTCAAGGAAGGGGTTTAATTGGGTTCTCAAAATTCTGAGCCCGAGAATTCAAGGAAGGGGTTTAATTGGGTTCTCAAAATTCTGAGCCCGAGAATTCAAGGAAGGGGTTTAATTGGGTTCTCAAAATTCTGAGCCCGAGAATTCAAGGAAGGGGTTTAATTGGGTTCTCAAAATTCTGAGCCCGAGAATTCAAGGAAGGGGTTTAATTGGGTTCTCAAAATTCTGAGCCCGAGAATTCAAGGAAGGGGTTTAATTGGGTTCTCAAAATTCTGAGCCCGAGAATTCAAGGAAGGGGTTTAATTGGGTTCTCAAAATTCTGAGCCCAAGAATTCAAGGAATGGTTTTTAAACTGAGTCTGAAGAAGTTTTTAAGGTAGATTCTCCAAATCCTGTGCTGAGCCCAAGGGTTTAAGCTGAATTCTCAAAATTCTGAGCCCAAGAATTCAAGGAAGGGTTTTAATTGGGTTCTCAAAATTCTGAGTCCGAGGTCTCAAGGAATGGTTTTTAAACTGAGTCTGAGGAAGTTTTGAAGGTGGATTCTCCAAATCCTGTGCTGAGCCCAAGGTGATTTAAAGGCTGAGTAAAAGGCCCTGAGCAATCAGTGCTGGATTGATCCGGGTTTCGGGAGTTAAGCTCAGCTCAAGGCTCTGATTTCCCCGTGTTTGTTTGCTTGGAACAGAACAAATCCCCTGCGGCTGATTAGGGGATCCCGATCCCCTCCCGAGGTTTGGGATCGTCTCCCCTTTCACTCGTGCCCTGTGCAAACACAGCTGAGGGCCTGCAGTGAGACACGAGGGATGAAACTGGGAAAAAATTCAATATTTAGGGTTGTTTCAAAGATCTTGAGTTTTCTCACAAGTTTTTGAGTTTTTTCCCCCAAGTTTTTGAGTTTTTTCCCCAAGTTTTTGATTTTTTTCCCCAAGGTTTTGAGTTTCCCCCCCAAGTTTTTGAGGTTTTTTTCCCAACAATTTTAAGGTTTTTCCAAAGGTTTTGAGGTTTCTTTAAAAGATTTTAAGGTTTTTTTTTTAAAAACGATTTTAAGGTTTTTCCAAAGCTTTCGTGTTTTTTTCCCAATGTTCTTCAGGGTTGATGGGGTAGAAAATATTTAGGATTATCACCAAATGGGAATGTTCTTTGGGAATGTTCTCAAGATTGATGGAGTAGGGAATATTTGGGATTTTCCCCAAACGGGAATGTTCTCCGGGATTGCTGGGTAGGGAATATTTGGGAATTTCCCCAAATGGGAATGTTCTCCAGGATTGATGGAGTAGGGAATATTTGGGATTATCCTCCAATGGGAACGTTCTTTGGGGATGTTCTCCAGGATTGATTGGGGTAGGGAATATTTGGGATTTTCCCCAAACGGGAATGTTCTCCGGGAACGTTCTGTGGGAACGTTCTCTGGGATTGCTGGGTAGGGAATATTTGGGCATTTCCCCACAGGGGAATGTTCTCCAGGACTGATGAGTAGGGAATATTTGGGCATTTCCCCACAGGGGAATGTTCTCCAGGACTGATGAGTAGGGAATATTTGGGCATTTCCCCACAGGGGAATGTTCTCCAGGACTGATGAGTAGGGAATATTTGGGCATTTCCCCACAGGGGAATGTTCTCCAGGACTGATGAGTAGGGAATATTTGGGCATTTCCCCACAGGGGAATGTTCTCCAGGACTGATGAGTAGGGAATATTTGGGCATTTCCCCACAGGGGAATGTTCTCCAGGACTGATGAGTAGGGAATATTTGGGCATTTCCCCACAGGGGAATGTTCTCCAGGACTGATGAGTAGGGAATATTTGGGCATTTCCCCACAGGGGAATGTTCTCCAGGACTGATGAGTAGGGAATATTTGGGCATTTCCCCACAGGGGAATGTTCTCCAGGACTGATGAGTAGGGAATATTTGGGCATTTCCCCACAGGGGAATGTTCTCCAGGACTGATGAGTAGGGAATATTTGGGAATTTCCCCAAACGGGAATGTTCTCCAGGAACGTTCCGTGGCCATGTCCTGCCCATGCCACCCCGGGCCCCAGGCAGGAGCCAGCCCCCCAACACGACCCCACAGCCTCCAGCCCCCATTCCCCAGCCCTGCCCCAGCTCATTCCAGACACCGCTTTGTGGGGCAAGGAGCAGCCCAGGAGCTCAGCTGGGGCTGCTCAAACCCCTCGGGCCCACCCCGAGCTTCCCGAGGGACCTCGGGAGGACAACTTGGCAATTGGGGGCCAATTAAGGGATAATTGGAGTCGGGAGTGCAGCTTCCCTGGGAAACCCGAGCCTGGTGCCTTCATAACGAGGAGAAAACATTTGGTGTTTTGGTTTGATTTCACGGCACCGAGGGGAATTCTCCGACGGCGTCTTTGAAAGGGGATGATTCCCCATCTTTAAAGGATATTTAGAAGGCCACACCTCTCATTTTTAACAATTTTCTTTTAAATGCTTTTGTTTTAAATGTTTTTTCTTTTAAATGCTCCTGGTTTAAATATTTTTATTTTAAATGGGGAGAGCTCAGAGCCCTAAAGGGGCTCCAGGAGAGGGATTTGGGGCAAGGAATAAAACAGTGGGAATGGTTTGGTGTGGCATGAGGGCAGGGTTAGGTGGGAAATTGGGAGGAAATTGTTCCTTGTGAGGGCAGCGAGGCCTCGGCCTGAGAATCTGTGGCTGCCCCGTCCCTGGAAGTGTCCAAGGCCGGTTTGGAGCACCAGGGATGGTGGAAGGTCCTTTCCCCACAGCCCGGGGTGACCCTGGATCTTCAGTTCCCTTCCGGGGAAACAGCTTTGTGCAGAATGAGGGCAGGACTAAATGGGAAACTGGGAGGAAATTGTTCCTTGTGAGGGCAGCGAGGCCTCGGCCTGAGAATCTGGAAGTGTCCAAGTCCAGCTTGAGCCTGAGAATCTGGACGTGTCCAAGTCCAGCTTGAGGCACCCAGGGATGGTGGAAGGTCCCTGCCCCCCGCCCGGGGTGGCGCTGGATCTTTAATGTCCCTTGCAGGGCACGGCTTTGTGCAGAATGAGGGCAGGTTTAGGTGGGAAATTGGGAGGAAATTGTTCCTTGTGAGGGCAGCGAGGCCTCAGCCTGAGAATCTGGACGTGTCCAAGTCCAGCTTGGAAGTGTCCAAGTGTCCCGTGGAGCACCCAGGGATGGTGGAAGGTCCCTGCCCACCGCCCGGGGTGGCGCTGGATCTTTAATGTCCCTTGCAGGGCACGGCTTTGTGCAGAATGAGGGCAGGTTTAGGTGGGAAATTGGGAGGAAATTGTTCCTTGTGAGGGCAGCGAGGCCTCAGCCTGAGAATCTGGACGTGTCCAAGTCCAGCTTGAGGCACCCAGGGATGGTGGAAGCTCCTTCCCCACAGCCCGGGGTGACCCTGGATCTTCAGTTCCCTTCCGGGGAATGGCTTTGTGCGGAATGAGGCAGGACTAAATGGGAAACTGGGAGGAAACTGAGGGCAGTGAGGCCTCGGCCTGAGGCACCGTGGCTGCCCCATCCCTGGAAGTGTCCAAGTCCAGCTTGGAAGTGTCCAAGTGTCCCGTGGAGCACCCAGGGATGGTGGAAGGTCCCTGCCCACCGCCCGGGGTGGCGCTGGATCTTTAATGTCCCTTGCAGGGCACGGCTTTGTGCAGAGTGAGGGCAGGTTTAGGTGGGAAATAGGGAGGAAATTGAGGGCAGCGAGGCCTCGGCCTGAAAATCGGGAATTGTCCAAGTGCAGCTTGGAGCACCGAGGGATGGTGGAAGGTCCCTGCCCACAGCCCAGGTGACCCTGGATCTCCAACGTCCCTTGCAGGGCACGGCTTTGTGCAGAGTGAGGGCAGGCTTAGGTGGGAAATTGGGAGGAAATTGTTCCTTGTGAGGGCAGCGAGGCCTCGGCCTGAGAATCTGGAAGTGTCCAAGGCTGGTTTGGAGCACCGAGGGATGGTGGAAGCTCCTTCCCCACAGCCCAGGTGACCCTGGATCTCCAACGTCCCTTCCAGCGCACACCACCCCCCGAGCTCCGGGAAGGAATAAGCCAGCCTTTGTTAGGCCCGGCCCAGCCCGGCGCTGCCGGGGCGGCTGGCGGCCGCTCCCCAAGGCCAGGACACACCTGTTGGCCGCGGGGCCGCGGGATTGGCTGGCCCGGCGTGCACCTGCGCGGGGAGGGGTGCCGGGCTCCATGTAAGACGAGCCTTGGCCTCGCTCCCCAACCATCCTCCTCAACTCCAGCTCCAACACGCAGCTCCTCCGCGCCGCCGCGCTCGGCCCGGCCCTTCCCGGCCTGCTTTTTTTGCCCTTTTAAGCTGGGTTTTATTTGATTTTATTTATTTTTTTAAGCTCAGTTTCAGCAGCCTAACGAGGTGTAGAGGTGTTGTTTTTCCAGGTCTGGCTGTGGTTTTGCCACCGTTTGCTCCGGCGCCGATTTCCCCGCGAAATCCAAGGTCGCCTTTTCCAGGACGCGGAAGAGGAAAAACTCTCCTGGCTCCTCATCCTCCCAAAATTCCTTCCCCGCCTGAAGGCTGACCTGGCTGTGGGAGAAGCTCCCAGCACTGAAGTTTTCCCTGGATTTTGTGCTGGTCCTGGTAAGATCCAAAGTTTCCAGGTAGAGCGGGGAGGGAAAAAAAATGGGATTTAGGGAGCGCGAGAACGACTTCTTGGAGGGCCTTTCCTACTTTTCCATGGGTCTTCCCTCTCCCCGCTTCACTTTCTGCGGGATTCCGCCCTCTTTTCTCTTCCTCCTTCTCCCCCCAGGTGGATTCGAGAGGGTTTTGTTGGACAGATCAGGTTTTGTGTGCACTGGGGGAGGGGAGGGCAGCGCATGAATCCAAACGTTCATTTTACAACCAGTCCAACCAGTCAGGGCAGATCCAGGGCTGCCGGGAGGAGGGAGACGAGGGGGGAAGCTGAGCGCAGCCAGGTGCCAGGAAAGGTGGGGAGAAAAGGGAAATCCCATAAAAATCCCAAAAAATCCCAATAGAATCGATAGGAACGAGCACGGAGTTGAAGGGGGCTCTTCCAATATTCCTGGATTTCAGAATATTGAGATTTAAGGGAGGATCTCCCAGTTTTCGAGTAAAAGTGACGATTCCAAATCCGGGTTTGCTGCTGGCCCTGAAAAAAAAAGAATATTTGGAAAATCTGATCAAAATCCCAATAAAATCAATAGGAAATGAGCATGGAATTGAAAGGGGTTCTCCTAAAACTTTTGGATTTTGGAATATTTGGATTTAAGGGAGGATCTCCCAGTTTTCAAGTAAAAGTGACGATTCCAAATCCAGGTTTGCTGCTGGCTCTGAAAATTAAAAGGAATATTGGGAAAATCTGATCAAAATCCCAATAGAATCGATAGGAACGAGCACGGAATTGAAGGGGGTTCTTCCAATATTTTTGGATTCTGGAATATTTGGATTTAAGGGAGGATCTCTCAATTTTGGGAGTGAAAGCCACGATTCGAGTTTGCTGCTGCTCTGAAAAAAAAGGAATATTGGGGAAATCTGATGAAATTCCATTAAAATCCCAATAAAATCTATATAAAATGAGCATGGAATTGAAGGGGGTTCTTCCGATATTTTTGGATTTCAGAATATTGGGATTTAAGGGAGGATCTCCCAATTTTGGGAGTGAAAGCCACGATTCGAGTTTGCTGCTGCTCTGAAAAAAAAGGAATATTGTGAAAACTGGATTAAAATTCAATTAAAACCCCAATAAAATTGATATAAAATGAGCCTGGAATTGAAGGGGGCTCTTCCAACATTTGGAATATTTTGGAATATTTGGATTTAAGGGAGGATTTCCCAGTTTTGGGAGTAAAAGTCACGATTCGAGTTTGCTGCTGCTCTGAAAAAAAAGGAATATTATTAAAATTTGATTAAAATTCAATTAAAATCCCAATAAAATTGATATAAAATGAGCCTGGAATTGAAGGGGGCTCTTCCAACATTTGGAATATTTTGGAATATTTGGATTTAAGGGAGGATTTCCCAGATTTTGCCAAAAGTGAGGATTCCAATCCCAGATTGTTGCTGGCTCTGGTAACGATTGCCACGTTTTAATGACTTCGTTAATTACCCAGCATTTTAACGAGCTCTCCTCGCCCTCCACAACCCCCCAGCCTCAAATCTTTCCTCCTCCCTGACCCGAATTCCTGGGATCGGGAATTTTCCGAGCAGGAGAAGAAAATTTGGGAATTCTGTTGGGATCCGAGTGGGTGCGGAGGAAAATCCGGGCGGGAGGAGCAGGAGCCATTTTGGGTCGGTTTTGTTGATTCTTTCTCACCTCAGGCTTTTTTGGGTTCTTTTTGGTGCTGAAAAACCCAAATATTCCAATTTTGGCTTTATCCCGGTGCCGGATCCAACCGGGATCGGCTTTTCCTGGGTTCTCCTGGATTTTGGAGAAATTTCTTGGTGTTTTTTGGAGAAATTTCCTGGTTTTCTCCTGAATTTTTGACAAGTTTCCTCATTTTCCCCTGGATTTTAGAGAAATTTCCTGGCGTTCTCCTGGATTTTGGAGAAATTTCCTCATTTTCTCCTGAATTTTGGAGAAATTTCCTGGTGTTTTTTTGGAGAAATTTCCTGTTTTTCTCCTGAATTTTGGAGAAATTTACTGTTTTTCTCCTGGATTTTGGAGGAATTTCCTGTTTTTCTCCTGGATTTTGGAGGAATTTCCTGGTGTTCTCCTGGATTTTGGAGAGTTGGGCTCCGAAGGGAGAAAGGAGAAGTGAAATAAAAGTGGTTTTATTTAATTTCTGGAGGGTGAGGTCAGGCCCTGGGTTCTTCCTCTAAATCCCATTTTTGGGGTTACAATCCCCTTTCAAAATCCCATTTTTTTGATTTAAAAATCCCATTTTTGGAGATAAAATCCCGTTTCCAAATCCAATTTCTTTGGGTTCGAATTCCATTCCAAAATCCCATTTTTGGGTCAGAATTCCATTGGAAATGGGGGTGAAAATCCGGGAGAGGGATTTTGTTACCCAGGAGCAGGGAATGCTCTGGGAATTTCAATCTGGGTGAGTTTCCCATTTTTCCTTCTGGTTTTCCGCATTTCCCTCTTTTTTTTCTGCCACTTTTCCAAGATCTATTCTAAAACTAAAAATATTCAATTTTTTCCCCTTTTTTGCCCAACCTATCCATAAAAATGGGAATTTCGGATTTTTTGGGGGGGGTTTGGGTAGTTTTTATCGTGATTTTTGCCAGGTTTTCCTTGTTATTTTGGGGTTTTTGGAGAATTTTTTTGGTTTTTTTGTTTGTTTTAGGTTATTTTAGGAGTTTTTTTTTTTTTGCTCTTTTGGAGGTTTTTGCTGTTTCTTGAGTTTTTTGGGGGTTTTTCTCATTATTTTTGGGTTTTTGAGCAGTTTTTTGGGTTTTTTTGGTTGTGTTTTTTGTCAGTTTTTTGTTGTTATTTCTGAGATTTTTGGTGCTTTTTGGTTGGCGTTGAATTTTTGGGATTTTTTTTTTTTTTTTTTTGAATTTTTGGTGGTTTTTGGGTGGGGTTGAATTTTTTGGGTTTTTTTTTTTTTTTTTTGCGTTTTTTGAGTTTTTGAAGTTTTGGTGGGGTTTGCTCTGAGCTCAGATCAGGATTTAAGCTTGGCTTTACTCCAGGCAGGACGAGGCCTCGGTGAAACACTGGGATGTGGTTCTGGGAAACTGGGCTTAAACTGGGTTTTAAATTGGTTTTAAACTGGGTTTAAACTGGGCTTAAACTGGGTTTTAAATTGGTTTTAAATTGGTTTTAAACTGGGCTTAAACTGGGTTTTTAATTGGTTTTAAACTGGGTTTTTAACCCATTTTGGTTCTGGATGATTTTGAACTGGTTTTGAACTGGGTTCTTACTGGGATTTTACTGTTTTTTTTTAATTGGGTTTTTACTGGTTTTAACTGGGATTTTACTGGTTTTTGCTGGGATTTTACTGGTTTTTAACTGGTTTTTAACTGGTTTTTACTTATTTTAACTGGTTTTGCTGGGCTTTAACTGGTTTGAACTGGTTCTGATGGTTTTGTTACTCTCCTCCGAGCTGTCCTGGTGTAAAATTCCACTTTTCCCCTGGGATCAGATTTTTCCTGTTCCTGTTTGACCTCCCAATTAAAACTTTCATTTTTCCCCAAAAAATCCCTTTTTTTTTTTTCAATTTTTCCTTTGAAAATCCCAATTTTAAACCCCAACCCAACAAATCCTTTTGGGAATGGGAAAATGGGGGATGAGGGGGAGGAATTGGAAATGGATTTTGTTGGAAAGAAAGAAAAATGAGAAGTTGATTTTTCGTCCCCACCCCCGAGCTCCAGATCCCATCAAAAATTGGGATTTTTGGGGATGTTTTAAAGGATATTTTTATCCAAGGCCTCCAGGAACTCCAGGAATTTTTTGGGAATGTTTTTATTCATGGAATAACTCCGAGTCCTGGTCTGGGAGGCAGAATTTTGGATTTTTACTGTTGAATAATATTTCCTGAATTTATTAAGAATTGGATCATTTTGCTCTAATTGCAGTTAAATATTGGGGTATTTTTGGGAATTGGTTCTATTATTATTATTATTATTATTACTATTATTATTATTATTATTATTATTACTATTACTATTACTATTATTATGATTATTTTATTATTATCATCATTATTATTATAATTATTATTATCAATAATAATATTATTATTCACTACCATAATTATAATTCTTGTCATTCTTGTTTTTATTTTATAATTTCATTTTTATTTTCATTGTCAATTATTCATTACTATCACTATTAAATTTATTCTTATTTTATTTTTTACCCCTATTCTTATTTTAATTTTTACCCCACCATTTCCATTCTATCATTTTTATTCTATTATTTTTGATTCTTTTAATCCATAATCAATAGATGACAGAGCTGGGCTTTATAATTAAACCTCGCCTACCAAAGCCAGGTTTTAACCTTTAAAAACCCCACTTCATTTATATTGTACACAGAATTTCGTGCTGATTTCCTCACATTTCTCACCAAAAAACCCCAAAAAAACCCCAAACCCAACAAAACCCCATCCCCAGCTGATTTTTTATTTTTCCCCAAAACCCCTTTTTGGTTTTTTTTGCTCCAAAAATTCCGATTTTGGGGCGTGAGCTGAGACGTCCTCAGCATCTTACTGGGCAGCATTGGATGATGTGTGCGCTCTAATACTGCCTGGTAATGATGGTGGTGGCGTTTCCTGCGCGGCGTGGGACCCGCACCAGGCCTAAGGCCGGCCTAAGGCCTCAGCCTGGGCCTAAACCCTTCCTCAGGCCCAAATCCAGCACTGGATGATGTGTGCGCTCCAATACTGCCTGGTAATGATGGTGGTGGCGTTTCCTGCGCGGCGTGGGACCCGCACCAAGCTTAAACCTGGCCTAAGCCTGGGCCTGGGCCTAAACCCTTCCTCAGGCCCAAATCCAGCACTGGATGATGTGTGCGCTCCAATACTGCCTGGTAATGATGGTGGTGGCGTTTCCTGCGCGGCGTGGGACCCGCACCAGGCCTAAGCCCGGCCTAAGCCCGGCCTAAGGCCTCAGCCTGGGCCCAAATCCAGGCCTGGAGTGGGAAATCTTCATTCTGGGTGGAGGAAATGCCCTCGGGATGGGCCTGGCTTAAGGAAAATCCCTGGGAAAAAGCAAAATATTCCCAAAACTTGGGATGGGCAGGTGGGGAAGGAGGTGGTTCAGGAACGGGGATTGGGAATTCTGTCCTGGGAATGTTCACGGGGAGGGAAGGGGGAGGTGGGGGCGGAGCCTGGGGTTAAGTCAGGCTTAACTTCCTGTTTTGCTTTTAGATCTGTGTTAAATCAGGCCTAACTTCATGGTTTTATTTTGAGTTTATATCAAATCAGGTTTGGGTTTTGGTTTTTCCTGGAATTCTGAGGATCTGCAGCCATTCCTTGGTTTTTCCTGGAATTCCCAGGATCCGGAGCCATTCCTTGGTTTTTCCTGGAATTCCTTGGTTTTTCCTGAAATCCTGAGGATCTGCAGCCATTCCTTGGTTTTTCCTGGAATTCTGCCCTGAGGAGCTGCGGCCATTCCTTGGTTTTTCCTGCAGACATTCCTTGGTTTTTCCAGGAATTCTGAGGATCCAGAGCCATTCCTTGGTTTTCCCTGCAGCCATTCCTTGGTTTTCCCTGGAATTCTGAGGATCCAGAGCCATTCCTTGGTTTTTCCTGCAGCCATTCCTTGGTTTTCCCTGCAGCCATTCCTTGGTTTTCCCTGCAGCCATTCCCTGGTTTTTCCTGCAGCCATTCCCTGTTTTTCCCGGAATTCCGACCCTGAGGATCCGGAGCCATCCCCGTTCCCCGGAATCGCGAGGAGCCGCCTGGCCCTGGTCCCCTGTGGGCATCTTACCGGGCAGTGCTGGATGGTGCCGAGCTCTAACACTGTCTGGTAACGATGGTCAAAGGGGGCCCCCGGCAGGCCCGGCCACGGGATGGAGCTGGCAGGGAACCGGGGCTGACATCGGGATGTTCCTGGAAAGGGGTAAGGATGGGTTTGGGGAGGGAAAATCAAATTTAAATCAAAATATTCACTGAAAAGTGGGTAAGGATGGAGCTGGCAGGGAACCGGGGCTGACATCGGGATGTTCCTGGAAAGGGGTAAGGATGGGTTTGGGGAGGGAAATCGGGGCTGAAATCGGGATGTTCCTGGAAAGGGGGTAAGGATGGGTTTGGGGAGGGAAAATCAAATTTAAATCAAAATATTCACTGAAAAGTGGGTAAGGATGGAGCTGGCAGGGAACTGGAGCTGAAATTGGGATGTTCGCTGGAAAGGGGTAAGGATGGGTTTGGGGAGGGAAAATCAAATTTAAATCAGGATATTCGCTGGAAAGGGGGTAAGGATGGAGCTGGGGAGGGATCAGCCAGGGAAAATCGGAATTTAAATTAAAATATTGGCTGAAAAGTGATGGAGCTTTTCCACAGGGTAAGGATGGGTTTGGGGAGGGAAAATCAAATTTAAATCAGGATATTCGCTGGAAAGTGGGTAAGGATGGGTTTGGGGAGGGCTCAGCCACGGAAAATCGGAATTTAAATTAAAATATTCACTGAAAAGTGCTGGAGCTGCTCCCGAGGTGCTCCTGGTTAGGCCAGGTCTAACATCCCAAATCCAGGGATTTCCTGGAATTCTGCAATTCCTGCCAGGATTTCCTGGAATTCTGCAATTCCTGCCAGGATTTCCTGGGAATTCTGCCTTTCCTGCTGGGATTTCCAGGAATTCTGCAATTCCTGCCAGGATTTCCTGGGAATTCTGCCTTTCCTGCTGGGATTTCCAGGAATTCTGCAATTCCCGATGGGATTTCCTGGGAATTCTCCAATTCCTGCTGGGAATTCTGCAATTCCAGCCAGGATTTCCTGGAATTCTGCCTTTCCTGCCTGTGCAGGTGGTTCAGGGCAGCGCCCGGGCTGGGAAGGGAAATTGGGACCATTTTTCCAAATCCCAAAAGTTTTTTTTTCCCAGTTCTGAAGGTTTGTTTTTCCCAATTCCCAAAGATCATTTTTCCCAATTTCCAAACGTTTTTTCCCCAATCCCAAAGGGTTTTTTGTCCCAATCCCAAAACTTTTTCCCCCCAATCCCAAACGTCATTTTCCCCAATCCCAAAGGGATTTTTTTCCCAAATTCCAAAACTTTTTTATCCCAATTCCAAAGGGGTTTTTCCCCCAATCCCAAAGGGGTTTTTTCCCCAAATTCCAAAACTTTTTTCCCCCAATCCCAAAGGGATCTTTTCCCCCCATTCCAAAAGTTTTTTTCACCAATCCCAAATGTCATTTTTCCCAATTTTTCACTTAAATCTCTGTGTTTGCTCCTGAACTTCCGACCTTTCCACCCTGCCTTGTTCCAGGTGGGTTCGTTACTCTGAGGAATTCCTAAAACCAGGAATTCCTAAAACCAGGAATTCCTAAAACCCAGGAATCCCTAAAAACCAGGAATTCCAGCCGAGCAGCTCCGAGCAGCTGGAGGAACATTCCGAGCTCCAGGAATTCACCCCAAAGCAGCAGGAGCTCGTGGAGAACGGATCCAATCCGTGGTGGAAGCTGCAATTCCCAAAGGAATTCCTCTGGAAGATGGAATTCCCTAAGGGAATTCCTAGGGAAAATGGAATTCCCAAAGGGAATTCCTCTGGAAAATGGAATTCCTAAAGGAAATTCCTCTGGAAAATGGAATTTCCAAAGGGAATTGCTCTGGAAACTGCAATTCCCAAAGGGAATTCTTCTGGAAAATGGAATTCCTAAAGGAAATTCCTCTGGAAAATGGAATTTATCCCAAAATTCCTCCTGGTTCCCCTTTTCCACCCCAGAATTCCTCCCAATTCCCTTTTCCACCCCAGAATTCCTCCTGATTCCCTTTTCCATCCCGGAATTCCTCCCAATCCCAGATTTTGGCCCTAAATTTCTTTCCCACATTCCCGGCCTGGAGTTTCCCGTGGGATTCCAAGGATTTGATCTGGGATTAAATCCCAGCCCCAGGAGGTTTTTCCTGGCTTTAATCCCTTCCCTCACCCCAAATTCCAAATTAAACCTGGTCTAACGACCCCAAAAATTTGGAATTAAAGGATTTCCAAGTCCCTCCCCACCCAAACCAGTCTGGAATTCTCTTCCCTCATCCCTAGAAAAATTTAAATCCTTTTTTTTCCTGCTTTGCACTAAACCAGGCTTAAGATTCCTTGCTAAAATCCGTGGATAATCAGGGAAAAATTGAATTAATTGGTCCATAATTAAAATTTAAAATGGCTCATAATTAAAAATATTCAAAATTAAAATTATAATTGTTATAAAATTCTTGCAAGGTGGAGAGCTCGGGAGCTGCCCTAAACCCAGAGCTCGGTTTGTCCTTGGAGGTTGAAATTCCCAGGAAAAGCAGGAAAGGAGGAAGCAGGGGGGGTGATTAATTAGGGCTGGGTGTTAATGAGTAACTGCTCCCGAGGCCCGCAGGAAATGGGGGAGGAATTGTGGGAATTGGATTTTAACGAGCCCATAAATCCCTGGGACTGGGGCCCAGCCTCTCCTTGCACCTGCCCTGGGGAAAGGAATCCCAAAAAACCCCAAAAAACCTCAAAAAACCCCCAAAAAACCCCAAAAAACCCCCCAAAACCCCAAAAAAACCCCCAAAAAAACCCCAAAGACCGGGAACATTCCAGAGGGAAATCCCTGGGAAAACAAATCCAGGGATTCGGGAAAATCCCACGGCCCTGGTGGGGAAAAAACAGAAAAAAAAACCCCAAAAAATTCCATTTTCCTTCAACCCCTTCAGCACCAGCGCTGGGTGTGGGGCTCAGGAGCTTTTGGGGTGGTTCAGGAGCGGTTTGGGATGTTCAAGATCTTTTTGGGGTGGTTCACGAGTTTTTTGGGATGATTTAGGAGCCTTTTGGGGTATTCCAGGAGGTTTTTGGGGCATTTCAGGAGCTTTTTGGGGTGGTTCAGGAGTTCTTTGGGATGGTTTAGGAGCTTTTTGGGACGTTCAGGAGCTTTTTTGGGGTGGTTTAGGAGCATTATGGGATGGTTCAGGAGCTTTTTGGATGGTTTAGGAGCTTTTTGGGTTGGTTTGCGACCAGTTTGGGATGGTTCAGGAGCTTTTTGGGGTGGTTTAGGAGATTTTTTGGGTATTCCAGGAGCTTTTTGGGGTGGTTTAGGAGCATTCTGGGATGGTTTAGGAGCTGTTTGGATGATTTAGGAGCTTTTTGGGTTGGTTTAGAAGCAGTGTGGAATGGTTTTGGAGCTTTTGGGGTGGTTTAGAGCATTTTGGGGTGGTTCAGGAGTTCTTTGGGATGGTTCAGGAGCTTTTTTGGGTATTTCAGGAAGTTTTGGGGATGGTTTTGGAGCTTTTAGGATGGTTTAGAGCATTTTCAGGTGATTCAGGAGCTTTTTGGGATGGTTCAGGATCTTTTTGGGGTGGTTTAGGAGCTTCCAAGGCCTAAATCCCAAAAACTGCCTCAGCAAGGGGAACTTAAGGACGATCCCACACCCACAAAATCCTCCCCAGCATTTCCAGCAGGAAAAGCAGAATTGAGCCAGAATTCCCAACAATTCCCGGCCCCAAACCGACCTCGGGACCCCCCGGGAGCTGCCGAGCCTTGCCCTGGGATCGCTTTCCAGCCGGGGACGTGGGAAAAGTGGGGAAAATGGGGAAAAATGGGGGAAAATGGGAAAAAATGGGGGAAAATGGGGGAAAATGGGGAAAAATGGGGAAAAATGGGACTTTCCTGGAGCCACCCTGCGGATTGCTGAATTACCAGGCACGCTTAGATCTGCGCTCGGTGTCTAATACTGCCTGGTAATGCCGGCAGCCCAGGGCACAATCCCCGCAGTTCCACAGGATGGCTTGGGATCTTTTTGGGGCGATTTGGGATCTTTTTGGGGTGGTTTGGGATCTTTTTGGGGCGATTTGGGATCTTTTTGGGGCGGTTTGGGATCTTTTTGGGGTGGTTTGGGATCTTTTTGGGGCGATTTGGGATCTTTTTGGGGCGGTTTGGGATCTTTTTGGGGTGGTTTGGGATCTTTTTGGGGCGATTTGGGATCTTTTTGGGGCGATTTGGGATCTTTTTGGGGCGATTTGGGATCTTTTTGGGGTGATTTAGGATCTTTTTTGCTCAGTTCTCTCCAGGATTGGGATAAAATTCCAGAGGGGAGGAGGAGGAGGAGGAGGCTGGGATTCCTCAGGATCATTTTGGGAACAAAACCCAAATTAAATAAAAACCCCAAAAGCAAACAACTCGTTTCAAATGAATTTTTCTTTGGAAGTTCCCAAATTTTCCCAGGGAATCAGAAACTCCCCAGAGCAGCTTTTGGGGTCTCTGTTCCTGCAGGAATCCCCCAAATCCAGGGAATCTGCTGGAATCCCTCTGGAACCCCCCAGGGAGGGATTTTTCCCAGATTTCTGATCCCTTTTCCTTTGCCAGTGTCTGTCCCTCCATCCCTCATCCCAATCCCTCTCCCGGGAACATTCCCAGAGCTCCCAGCCCAGAATCCAGGGATCATCCAGCAGAGGTTTGAATCCATGTGGAATTCCTCTGAAATCCTAGGAATTCCTGTGCAATTCCTCTGAAATCCTGGAAATTCCCATGGAATTCCTCTGAAATCCTGGGAATTCCCCTGGAATTCCTCTGAAATCCTGGGAATTCCTGTGTAATTCCTCTGAAATCCTGGGAATTTCCATGGAATTCCTCTGAAATCCTGGGAATTCCCGTGGAATTCCTCTGAAATCCTGGGAATTTCCGTGCAATTCCTCTGAAATCCTGGGAATTCCTGTGCAATTCCTCTGAAATCCTGGGAATTCCCATGGAATTCCTCTGAAATCCTGGGAATTCCTGTGCAATTCCTCTGAAATCCTGGGAATTTCTGTGCAATTCCTCTGAAATCCTGGGAATTCCCATGGATTTCCACGGAGAATCCATGGCTTCCAGGAGAAACTCATCCTGGGTTATCCCTAATTAATTATCCCTAATTATCCATATCCAGATCCTGGCACTGGCATCTCCACAGGGGTCATCCCAAAAACCTCCCCCACCCGGCTGGAATGACACAAAAATCCTGGAATGTCCTGAGGGGGAAGGGCCCCCCAGGGCTCAGAATTCCCAAATCCCACCTGAGAGCATTTCCCAGGATCTTTTCCCCATTCCCTCCGTTCTTCCAGGGCTCTGAGCAGTCCCTGCAGGAGCTTCACTCCCTTCTTTCCCGATTTTCCTGGGAAGAACCCACAGGGAAATCCCTGGTGGAACAGCAGGAGCTTCCCACGGGAATCTGGGTGGGAGCAGGAATGGGGTGGGAGAGGCAGGAATGGGGTCGGGAGAGGCAGGAATGGGGCTGGGAATGACCCAGCGGGGGCAGTGCTGGGAAACCCGGGGAACAGCAGGAGATGGGGAAGAGCAGGAAATTATGGAAAAGCAGGAGATGGGGAAAAGCAGGAAATTATGGAAAAGCAGGAGATGGGGAAAAGCAGGAAATTATGGAAAAGCAGGAGATGAGATGATGGAAAAGCAGGAGATGTGGAGAAGAAGATATGGGAAAAGCGGGAGATGGAGGAAAAGCAGAAAATTATGGAAAAGCAGGAGATGGGAAGAGCAGGAGATGATGGAAAAGCAGGAGATTATGTGGGAAAAGCAGGAGATGTGGCCGCCATCCCCACTCCTGGAATCCAGCACATCCCAGAAAATCCCTTCTCCTCTCCTCCCGAGCCCCAGCAGGATCCATCCCTAAATTCCAGCTTTTCTCAGGAAAAAACAAGTCCGAGCTCGCCCTGAGCTCCCTCCTCCCCCCGGGGCGCTCTGCCCGGCTCCATCCCGGAGCCGCCCGGGATTTTGGGAATGCGGGAGCCGGGCCGGGATTTTGGGAATGCCGGGGCCGGGCCGGGATTTTGGGAATGCCGGGAGCCGGCCGGGATTTTGGGAATGCGGTTCCAGGGCTCTGAGCAGTCCCTGCAGGAGCTTCACTCCCTTTTTTCCCGATTTTCCTTGGAAGAACCCACAGGGAAATCCCTGGTGGAACAGCAGGAGCTTCCCACGGGAATCTGGGTGGGAGCAGGAATGGGGTGGGAGAGGCAGGAATGGGGTCGGGAGGGGCTGGAATGGGGCTGGGAATGACCCAGCGGGGGCAGTGCTGGGAAACCCGGGGAACAGCAGGAGATGGGGAAGAGCAGGAAATTATGGAAAAGCAGGAGATGGGGAAAAGCAGGAAATTATGGAAAAGCAGGAGATGGGGAAAAGCAGGAAATTATGGAAAAGCAGGAGATGAGATGATGGAAAAGCAGGAGATGTGGAGAAGCAGATATGGGAAAAGCGGGAGATGGAGGAAAAGCAGAAAATTATGGAAAAGCAGGAGATGGGAAGAGCAGGAGATGATGGAAAAGCAGGAGATTATGTGGGAAAAGCAGGAGATGTGGCCGCCATCCCCACTCCTGGAATCCAGCACATCCCAGAAAATCCCTTCTCCTCTCCTCCCGAGCCCCAGCAGGATCCATCCCTAAATTCCAGCTTTTCTCAGGAAAAAACAAGTCCGAGCTCGCCCTGAGCTCCCTCCTCCCCCCGGGGCGCTCTGCCCGGCTCCATCCCGGAGCCGCCCGGGATTTTGGGAATGCCGGGGCCGGGCCGGGATTTTGGGAATGCCGGAGCCGGGCCGGGATTTTGGGAATGCGGGAGCCGGGCCGGGATTTTGGGAATGCCGCAGCCGGGCCGGGATTTTGGGAATGCCGGGGCGGATCCCGCTAGCGGAGCTCGCCGTACACCCTCTCCTTGTCCCTGTCCTTGTCCTCGCTCTTGTCGCCGTGCTCCTCCTCCGGGAACTGGATGCTGTAGGATTCCTCCCCCTGGAGCAGCAGCCGCGGGAAGGTGGGGAGGGAATCCGCGCCTGGAAATGCAGAGGGAATGTCGGGAACGTTCCGGGAAATGCAGAGGGAATGTCGGGAATGCTCCGGGAAATGCAGAGGGAACACCAGGAATCCTCTGGGAAATGCAGAGGGAACGGCAGGAATGCTCCCGGGAAATGCAGAGGGAATGTCGGGAATGCTCTGGGAAATTCAGAGGGAATGGCAGGAATCCCCAGGAATCCTCCTGGGAAATGCAGAGGGAATGGCAGTTTGTGGGGTCAGGGCATGGTGGGGTGGGTTAGGGGGGTTTTGGGGTGATCTGTGTCACCCCATCCATGGGCAGGGACCTTTCCTGCTGTCCCAGGGGGCTCCAAGGACAATTCCAGGGATCCAGGGGCAGCCAGAGAAACTCATTCCAGGAATTGCATCCCAAAATCCCATCCCACCCTTCCTGGCTGCCCTGGATGATTCTGGGAACCTGCCCCAGATCCCAGAGGAAATCCCGGATTTTAACCCACTGATTCCATCCTGTTATCCCATTCAGATTTTATCCCATCCATTCCCAGTTTTATCCCATCTATTCCCAGATTTTACCCATTCCATCCCAGATTTTATCCCATTCAGTCCCAGGTTTTATCCCTTTAATTCCCAGACTTTATCCCCCCCATTCCCAGGTTTTATCCCGTTCAATCCCAGGTTTTATCGCATCCAATCCCAGATTTTATCTCGCCATTCCCAGACTTCATCCCACCTATTCCCAGGTTTTGTCCCATTTATTCCAAGGTTTTATCCCCCCATTCCCATGTTTTTCCCCCTCATTCCCATGTTTTATCCTCCCCATTCCCAGGTTTTATCCTGTTCAACCCCAGTTTTCTCCCATTTATTCCCAGTTTCCCCCATTCCCATGTTTTCTCCCCCCATTTATTCCCAGTTCCCCCCCCGGTCCCCTCCGTCCCTCACCGCCGTGCCGCAGCTTGCTGTGCCCGTGCCCGTGCCCGTGCCCGTGGCCGCGGCCGCGCAGGCTCCAGATGCAGAAGTGCAGCAGGAACGAGAGCAGCACCAGCACGAAGAGCGCCACGGCCGCCAGGACGGCCAGGACCGCGCTGGACGGGAGCCCCGGCACAACCCGCGCTGCAATTAACGCGCCTTAATTAACAACTCAGCGTCCCGGGGCAGGGAGACCTTCCAGGGGAGTGTGGGGATCGGTCTGGGAGTTGTGGAATGGGATGGAAAAGGGGAAAGGGGGAAGGAAAAGGGGAAAGGAAAAGAAATGGAGCAGGGAAGGAAATGAAAATAGGAGAAGGAGGAGGAAAAGAGAGGGAAGATGGAAAGGAAAGAGGAAATGGGATGAGGACGAGGAAAGGGAAGATTGAAGGGAGAGAGGAGAAGGAAAAAGAGAGAGAAGAGGGAAGAGAAGAGGAAATGGGAAAGGAAGGGAAAGGGAAGAGGAGAAGGAAAAAAGAGGGAAGAGAAAATGGGAAATGGAAGAGGAAAAGGAAGAATAAACGGAAAAGCAGAAAGAGAAGACAGGGGCCATGTTTTACCAGGCAGCACCAGTTTCCCGGGAGGATTCTGAGCTGGGGAGGGGCAGCAGGAGGGAAGGATCCCCGATCGGGGGGCAGCAGGAGAAGGGGATCCCGGGGTCGGGGGGCAGCAGGAGGGAAGGATCCCGGGGTCGGGGGGGCAGCAGGAGAAGGGGATCCCGTGTCGGGGATCCCGGATCGGGGGGCAGCAGGAGGGAGGGATCCCGGGGTCTGGGGGCAGCAGGAGAAGGGGATCCCGTGTCGGGGTACCTGGGCTGGGGAGGGGCAGCAGGAGGGAAGGATCCCCGATCGGGGGGCAGCAGGAGAAGGGGATCCCGTGTCGGGGTACCTGGCTCCGGGGCTCTGGCCGGCAGGCTGCACACCGCGTTGTGGGTGCTGTTCCCCTCCCGCAGGGTGACGAAGCCGCTGCTCTCGCAGCTGCCGAGGACAAAGCACCCAAAGGGAATTGGGCTCCGGAGATTCCCCATTTCCGCCTCCCTCCCCTCCCCTCCCGGGGCAGTGCAGGCAGATTCGGGCTCTTCCCCAAACTTTCCCGGTTGTTTTTCCATGGATTTCCCTGTTGGGGATATTTTTTCCAGCATCTAAAGCCTGACTTTAAACTGGGAGTTTGGCTTAAGCTCTGCCTTGAGACTAAGAAGAGAAATGCTAGGTGTTGCTTAATTTAAAAATTCATCAATTAATCACATGATCACCATCTTGGATTCAATTTGATTTTCTAATGGCAGTATCAAACATCTTCATTGATATTTCAATATGAATTTATATTATATTATTATTACTATTATTATTCTATTATTCTTATTTTTATTCCCTAATTTCAAAGTGGGGGAGAAAAAAACCCAGTCTATTTTTTTCCCCCCCAGATAAGGGGAATATCAATAAACCCCTGCTCAGTCCATTCTTATCCTCATTATTAACATTATTATTTCTGTTTTCAAAGCAGGAAGTCCCGTTCCTAGCAGACATGGTGAGTTATTGACCAGTGATTATTGGTTATTGCCCCCGTACTCGGTCCAGTTGCGGCACCAGCTGTTCCTGCTGCTGGAGTAGGTGCCGTTCCTGCAGGGTTTGCACTCAAACTCGAAATTCACCAGTCCTGCAGGGAAAGGGATGGGAACGGCTGAGATCCCAAAGTGGGGACAGCCAGCAGAGCACAGCCAGGGCCAGTCCCGTTCCCTGCCCTATTCCCTGTCCCATTCCTATTCTCTGTCCCATTCCCTGCCCTATTCCCTGCCCTATTCCCTTTTCCCTGCTGCATTCCCATTCCCCATCCCATCCCCATCCCCATTCCCAGCCCCATTCCCAGCCCCATTCCCAGTCCCATTCCCATTCCCATTCCCGTTCCCAATCCTGTTACCTCTCCTGCCCAGCTCCCAGCCCGGCTGGCACTGGGGCAGTCTCCTGCAGAACAGGCAGGGGCTGTCCCTGCCCCATCCCCATTCCCATTCCCTGCCCCATTCCCTGCCCCATTCCCATTCCCAGCCCCATTCCCATCCCCATTCCCAGCCCCATTCCCAGTCCCATTCCCATTCCCATTCCCGTTCCCGTTCCCAATCCCGTTACCTCTCCTGCCCAGCTCCCAGCCCGGCTGGCACTGGGGCAGTCTCCTGCAGAACAGAGTGGGCTCGGTGGCACAGCCGTGGCCCTGGGGACATTTGCAGTCGCGGTCCTGCGCCGCCTGGCAGGCCGTGGGGCTCTCTGCGGCAGGGAAGGGGTTAATGCTGCTCTTCCCATCCCAAGGGAATTCCTGTTCCCAGGGAAAAGGGGGAGGCAGCACTTCCGGACACGGGGAAGGGTCTGGGGCAAGGGGATCCCAAAAATTGTCCTTCATGTTCCCAGGGAATGAGAGAGTTTTCCTGGGAAAAGGGATCCCCAAAATTGCCCCCCCCCCCATCCCAGGGAATGAGAGACAATTCATTTACACACAATTTACCCCCATTTACACACAATTCACACACAATTTACACACAATTACCATTTACACACGATTTACACACAATTTACCCCCATTTACACACAATTCACACACAATTTACACACAATTACCATTTACACACGATTTACACACAATTTACACCCATTTACACACGATTCACCCCCATTCACACCCATCACACACAATTACCCCACAATTCCCCCCCTTTACACACAATTTACACACAATTTACACACAATTCCCCCACAATTCCCATTTCCCCCGCACTCACCTCCCTTCCAGGTGCACTTGGGGCAGCACTTGGTGCCACCGCCCCACAGCGTCCTGAGCTCCCCGTCCTGGCACTGCCCGGCCCCGTGCCCGGCCAGCAGCGCCAGCAGCAGCCACACCCGGCCCGGGGCCATGTCCTGGCACTGCCACCGGGCTGTGCCACCCCAAAATTTACCCCCATTTACACACAATTCACACACAATTTACACACAATTACCATTTACACACGATTTACACACAATTTACCCCCATTTACACACAATTCACACACAATTTACACACAATTACCATTTACACACGATTTACACACAATTTACCCCCATTTACACACAATTCACACACAATTTACACACAATTACCATTTACACACGATTTACACACAATTTACACCCATTTACACACGATTCACCCCCATTCACACCCATCACACACAATTACCCCACAATTCCCCCCCTTTACACACAATTTACACACAATTTACACACAATTCCCCCACAATTCCCATTTCCCCCGCACTCACCTCCCTTCCAGGTGCACTTGGGGCAGCACTTGGTGCCACCGCCCCACAGCGTCCTGAGCTCCCCGTCCTGGCACTGCCCGGCCCCGTGCCCGGCCAGCAGCGCCAGCAGCAGCCACACCCGGCCCGGGGCCATGTCCTGGCACTGCCACCGGGCTGTGCCACCCCAAAGTGCCACCCCAAAGTGCCACCGGGCTGTGACACCGGGCAGTGACACCCCAAAGTGCCACCGGGCAGTGTCACCCCAAAGTGCCACCCCAAAGTGCCACCGGGCTGTGCCACCCCAAAGTGCCACCCCAAAGTGCCACCGGGCAGTGTCACCCCTCAATGACACCGGGCAGTGTCACCGGGCAGTGCCACCAGGCAGTGCCACCGGGCAGTGTCACCCCTCAGTGCCACCCGGCAGTGCCACTGGGCAGTGTCACTGGGCAGTGTCACCAGGCAGTGTCACCGGGCAGTGTCACCCCTCAGTGCCACCAGGTCGCTGTCCCGGCCCGGAGGAGGCGCCGGGGTTTTTGTGGCCGGGCTCTTCCTGTTTTTGGGGGCGGGGAGAAGGTTTGGGTTCAGGGAAAGGGGGCCCCAAAAAAAGGGGGTTGGGGTCATGGAGGGTTAAAGGGGGAGATTTGGCCACCGGGCTGTGCCACCCCAAAGTGCCACCCCAAAGTGCCACCGGGCTGTGACACCGGGCAGTGACACCCCAAAGTGCCACCGGGCAGTGACACCCCTCAATGACACCGGGCAGTGTCACCGGGCAGTGCCACCAGGCAGTGCCACCAGGCAGTGTCACCCCTCAGTGCCACCCGGCAGTGCCACTGGGCAGTGTCACCCCTCAGTGCCACCAGGTCGCTGTCCCGGCCCGGAGGAGGCGCCGGGGTTTTTGTGGCCGGGCTCTTCCTGTTTTTGGGGGCGGGGAGAAGGTTTGGGTTCAGGGAAAGGGGGCCCCAAAAAAAGGGGGTTGGGGTCATGGAGGGTTAAAGGGGGGAGATTTGGGATGGAGGGAGGGAGGGGGAATCAGCTCTGCAGGGATCCCCGGCTGGCCCGGGGCACTTCAGGGATGGGGCCAGAAATCCCCTGGGAATTCTATCCATGGACCCATTCAGCCCTAAAATCCATCCCAGCTTTCCCCAAAACCCATCCCAACCATCCTCCTTCCCTAAAATCCATCCCAGCTTCCCCCAAAACCCATCCCAACCATCCTCCTTCCCTAAAATCCATCCCAGCTTCCCCCAAAACCCATCCCAACCATCCTCCTTCCCTAAAATCCATCCCAGCTTCCCCCAAAACCCATCCCAATCACCCTCTTTCCCTAAAATCCCTCCCGGCCTTCCCCATGCCAACCTTTCCTTAAAACCCATCCCAACCTTTTCCTAAACCCATCCCAACCTTTTCCTAAACCCATCCCAACCTTTCCCTAAACCCATCTCAGCCTCTCCCTCTTTCCCATCCCAACCTTTTCCTAAACCCTGTCCCAACTTTTCCATAAACCTCACCCCAACCTCTCCCTCTTTCCCATCCCAACCTTTCCCTAAATCCCATCCCAACCTCTCCCTCTTTCCCATCCCAACCTTTCCCTAAACCCATCCCAACCTTTTCCTAAACCCATCCCAATCTTTCCATAAACTTCATCCCAACCTTTCCCTAAATCCCATCCCAACCTTTCCTTAAAACCCATCCCAACCTTTCTCTAAACCCATCCCAACCTTTCCCTCTTTCCCATCCCAACCTTTCCCTAAATCCCATCCCAACCTTCCCCTAAATCCCATCCCAACCTTCCCCTAAATCCCATCCCAACCTTCCCCTAAATCCCATCCCAACCTTCCCCTAAATCCCATCCCAACCTTTCCCTCTTTCCCATCCCAGCTTCTCCCTCGTTCCCATCCCAACCTTTCCCTAAACCCATCCCAACCCTTCCCTAAATCCCATCCCACCCTTTCCCCCTTTCCCACCCCACCCCGGTGCCCCCCGCCCCTCCCAGCTGGTTTTGCTCGTTCCCCACAGCAAACCCCAATTTCTTTCTTTCTCTCTCTCTCTTTTCAAACCCCCGGGGATTTTTCGCTCCGGGTTTCCCTTTGAGGTCAGGTGACGGAACTTTCCGCTGCGGGGCCGGGAGGCAGCGCTGCCCTTTGGGGTTTATCGCGTTCGTGGCGCTGATGATGGGATTTATCAGCCCGATCATCTCCTGCTGCCCGCGGGGTTTTCTCGGCAGCTCCGCCTCTGGCTGCTGACATTTCCCCTGCTCGGGCCCACGCCGCGGCTGCTTCCCTCCCCGAGAAAGTCCTGCGGAAAGGTTCCCCTCTCGGGGCTGCAAATCCGGGGAAATCCTACAAATCCTCATCCCAAATCCATCAAAACCTCCAAAAGTCCTCAAACCAAAAAATCCAAAAACCCCAAAAACGCACTCAGCACACTCCACGGAAAGGTTCCCCTCTCGGGGCTGCAAATCCGGGGAAATCCTACAAAGCCTCACCCCAAATCCATCAAAACCTCCAAAAATCCTCACCCCAAAAATTCACTCAGCACACTCCATGGAAAGGTTCCCCTCTCGGGGCTGCAAATCCGGGGAAATCCTACAAATCCTCATCCCAAATCCATCAAAACCTCCAAAAGTCCTCACCCCAAAAACGCACTCAGCACACTCCATGGAAAGGTTCCCCTCTCGGGGCTGCAAATCTGGGGAAAATCCTACAAATCCGCCATTGCCAGAAGGATGGAGGGAAATCCTCACCCCAAAAACTCACTCAGCACACACTTCACTGAAAGGTTCCCCTCTCGGGGCTGCAAATCGGGGGAAATCCTGAAAATCCGACATTGCCAGAAGGATGGAGGGAAATCCTCACCCCAAATCCATCAAAACCTCCAAAAATCCTCACCCCAAAACTCACTCAGCACACTCCACGGAAAGGTTCCCCCCTTGGGGCTGCAAATCTGGGGAAAATCCTAAAAATCTGACATTGCCAGAAGGATGGAGTGAAATCCTCACCCCAAATCCATCAAGACCTCCAAAAATCCTTCCCAAAAACTCAGCACACTTCATGGAAATGTTCCCCTCTCTGGGCTGCAAATTACGGGGAAATCCTAAAAATCTGACATTGCCAGAATGCTGGAGTGATTCCTCACCCCAAATCCATCAAAACCTCCAAAAATCCTTCCCAAAAACTCACTCAGCACACTCCATGGAAAGGTTCCCCTCTCTGGGCTGCAAATTTGGGGACTCCACGGGGAAAATCCTAAAAAATCTGACATTCCCAGAAACCCCAAATCCATCAAAACCCCAGAATCCTTCCCAAAAAAGAAACCCCTGATCACAGCCCTGCCTTCCCCTGGGAAAAAATTCCCCTCTCTGAGGGGAATGAGAAGAAACGGCCAAAAAATGGTGCCAGGAGAATTTGGGTTGGGATTTCCCCATGGGAAGGGAATCGGGGCTTTGGGAAAAGGGCAGAATTCCCATCCCTGACCCTGCAGAGCTTTTCCAGCCCCAAGAATTCCTGGGAATTCTCCCGTGCCCACATCTCCCCCATTTCCCCTTTCCCCGGAGCCTCCTTTTCTCTGAGCCGCCCAAATGAGGGGATTTGGGAGGAAACAAAAGAAATGACCCCAAAACAAAGGAAACCAGCCCAAAAAAGGGGAAACCAGCCCCAAAAAAGGGGAAACTCCCCTAAAACAAAAAGGAAATGACCCCAAAACAAAGGAAACCAGCCCAAAAAAGGGGAAACTACCCTAAAACAAAAGGAAACCAGCCTAAAACAAAAAGAAAACCTGCCCAAAAAAAGGAAAATCAGCCCCAAAAAAGGAAAACTACCCTAAAACAAAAAGGAAACGACCCCAAACCAAAGGAAACGACCCCAAACCAAAGGAAACCAGCCGAAAACAAAGGAAACCAGCCTAAAAAAGGGAAACTACCCTAAAACAAAAAGAAAATGACCCCAAAACAAAGGAAACTGCCCAAAAAAAGGAAACCAGCCCCAAAAAAGGAGCCCACGTCAGCAGCCGAGCGCTCTCAGCCGTTCTGCGCCGCGGTTTTGGTTTCCTGGCGCCGATTTTTCGCCGATCAGGGGAGAAAGGAAACCCTGAGCTCATCCTGCTGTGAAAAATCACCCTCAGGAGCTCTGGGGTGTTAGGCCCGGCCTAAGCCCAGCCAGGCCGGGCTTTGGGGTGGTTTCCACCCCACAAAGTGGAATTTTGATTCCCATGTTGTGGGAAAATCCGTGGGTGGTGCCGGGGGTTTTGGAGGGGAATCTCTGGGATCTGGGGGATAAATGTTCCTTAGGCCGGGCTTAAAACCCGTTAGGCCTGACCCAAAGGGGGTGTTAGTCAGGGATGGAGGTCGGGAAATGGGGAATTGCTGCCGGGAGGCTCTGGGAAAATGGGATGTTTCCCCAAAAAATGCAATTATTATCCAGGGGAAAATGGGATTTTTTCCCTCAGAAATACAATTATTATCCAGGGAAAATGGGATTTTTTTCCCTAAAAATACAATTATTATCCAGGAAAAAATGGGATTTTTCCCCTAAAATAAAATTATTATCCAGGGGAAAATGGGATTTTTTCCCTCAGAAATACAATTATTATCCAGGGAAAAATGGGATTTTTCCCCTAAAATAAAATTATTATCCAGGGGAAAATGGGATTTTTTTCCTCTCAGAAATACAATTATTAACCAGGGAAAAATAAGATTTTTTTCCCCTCAGGATTGTGAAAATTCCCCCTTTTTTCTTCCAAATTTGGTGTGTCCATGAGGAAAATCCTAAAATATTTGATATTCCCGAAGGGAAACCAACCTAGACAGAGGGAAAACCCAGGGAAAAAAAAAAAAAAAAAAAAACAGAAAATAATCTGGGAAAAAAAAACTATTAAAAAACAGGAAAAAGAAAAAAAGAAAAAAAAAAAGAAAAAAGAAGGAAAAAAAACCCAGAAAAAAATCTGGGGGAAAAGACTATAAAAACCCAGGGGGAAAAAAAAAGAAGAAAAACAAACAGGAAAAAAAAAAAAAAAAAACAGAAAAAAACCTGGGAAAAAAAACTTGGAAAACCCAGGAAAAAAAAACTTGAAAAACCTGAAAAAAAAAAGGAAAAATGTAGGAAAAAAATCCAGAAAAACTCCCAAAACCCTGGAACACCCAAAGCCGGCCCCGAAGTTCTTCCTGTGAGGTTTTTTTTCCACCTCTGGTGGCAAAATTGAGTCAAAACCGAGTTGAGGAGAAAAGGAAATCCGGAGCTAAGGGAGCGGCAAATCGTCACCAGGAGGGGCCCAAAGGCAAAGCCCAGAGCAGGAGTGAACCTGAAACAATTCCATCTAATTACGGTGCTGGCTAATTAAACGTTAATTGGGGATCCTTTCCTGCGGGGAAATGAAGGGAAATGCTGGATTTGGGGATGGGGGGTTGGGAAGAAGGGAAAATGGAATTTATTTGGATTTTTTTTTTTCAGGGAGGTTGAAATGTTGGGAGGTTGGGTTTGATTTTTGTCCAAAATTGGAGAAATGTGGGGGGTTTGTTTGGAAGCTGAGGGGTGAAATATCCAGGGGAAATGGGGATTTTGCCCTCAGGAATGTGATTATTTGTCTTTTTTTTTCCATGAAAAAATGGGATTTTTTCCCTCAGGAATGTGATTATTTGTATCATTTTTTCCAATAAAAAATGGGATTATTTTTCCCTCAGCAATGTGCTCATTTGCCATTTTTTCCAATGAAAAATGGGATTATTTTCCCCCTCAGGAATGTGATTATTATCCAGACAAAAATTAAATTTTGTCCCCCTCAGGAATGCGATTATTTGTCATTTTTTTCCAAGGAAAAATGGGATTATTTTCCCCTCAGGAATACAGCTGTTATCCAGGGAAAAATGGGATTTCCCCCCCTCAGGAATGTGATTATTATCCAGGGAAAAATGGGATTTTTTTTCCCCTCAGCAATGTGCTAATTTGCCATTTTTTTCCAAGGAAAAATGGGATTCTTTTCCCCTCAGGAATACAGCTGTTATCCAGGGAAAAATGGGATTTCCCCCCCTCAGGAATGTGATTATTATCCAGGGAAAAATGGGATTTTTTTTCCCCTCAGCAATGTGCTAATTTGCCATTTTTTTCCAAGGAAAAATGGGATTCTTTTCCCCTCAGGAATGGGATTATTTGCCATTTTCCCGGTGCATTTTCCAGCTCACCCACCCCAGCCCTTCCCAATCCTCCCGGAATTCCCATTTTCCCCCACACCAGATCAGTTTTTCAGAGTTTATCCCATTTTCCATCCCTGTTCCCTTCCCAGGCTCTCCCATCCTCCTGGAATTTCCCATTATTTGCCATTTTTTCCAATAAAAAATGGGATTTTCCCCCCTCAGCAATGTGCTCATTTGCCATTTTCCATCCCTGTTCCCTTCCCAATCCTCCCGGAATTCCCATTTCCCAGAATTCCCATTTCCCAGCATTCCCATTCCCCAGCATTCCCATTTCCCCACACCAGCTCCGTTTCTCAGCGTTTATCCCATTTTCCACCCCAGCATTCCCATTTCCCAGAATTCCCATTTCCCCCACACCAGATCCATTTCTCAGTGTTTATCCCATTTTCCACCCCAGCATTCCCATTTCCCAGCATTCCCATTCCCCAGAATTCCCATTTTTCCCCCACACCAGCTCCGTTTCTCAGCGTTTATCCCATTTTCCACCCCAGCATTCCCATTCCCCCAGAATTCCCATTTCCCCACACCAGATCCGTTTCTCAGTGTTTATCCCATTTTCCATCCCTGTCCCTTCCCATTCCCCCAGCATTCCCATTCCCCAGAATTCCCATTTCCCAGCATTCCCATTCCCCCAGCATTCCCATTCCCCCAGCATTCCCATTTTCCCACACCAGATCCGTTTCTCAGCGTTTATCCCATTTTCCACCCCAGCCCTTCCCATTCCCCCAGCATTCCCATTTCCCAGAATTCCCATTTCCCCAGAATTCCCATTCCCCAGAATTCCCATTTCCCCACACCAGCTCCGTTTCCCCCAGAATTCCCATTCCCCCAGCATTCCCATTCCCCCAGCATTCCCATCCCCCCAGCATTCCCATCCCCCCAGCATTCCCATTTCCCCACACCAGATCCGTTTCTCAGCGTTTATCCCGTTTTCCATCCCTGTCCCTTCCCAATCCTCCCGGAATTCCCATTTCCCAGCACTCCCATTCCCCCAGCATTCCCATTCCCCCAGCATTCCCATTTTCCCACACCAGATCCGTTTCTCAGCGTTTACCCATTTTCCACCCCAGCCCTTCCCATTCCCCCAGCATTCCCATTTCCCAGAATTCCCATTTCCCAGAATTCCCATTTCCCCAGAATTCCCATTTTCCCACACCAGCTCCGTTTCTCAGCGTTTATCCCATTTTCCACCCCAGCCCTTCCCAATCTTCCCAGCATTCCCATTTTCCCACACCAGCTCCGTTTCTCAGCGTTTATTCCCCGCCCTTGTACACGATACAAACGTTCCTATACACGGTATAAAGCCCTGCATATGTATAACATATAAAAAATCCCAAATCCTCCCCACCAGGCCCTCCAAGGCCTCTCGGATCCCCTCATCCACTCCCTGCCGGATTCTTTGGGATACTTTGGGATATTTATGGGTTTAAAATTCCCATTTTTGAGGCATTTTCTGTTGATAGTTGGAGGGAAAATCACTCCAGAACGATAAAAAATTCAATTTTTTCTGCAATTTCCACGGAATTATTTCAAATTCAGCAAAAGGAGACTTCGGGCTCCTCCCCCACATTCCAGAGTTTGGGATTTGCTCCCAAAAAATTTCCTTTCCAAATTTGTGGGAAAGCAATTAGAGAAGGAAAATTCATTTCATGAAAAGTGGATTGAGTTTGACTTAATCCTGGTTTTAGAGCTCAGATCTGTCACTTAATCCTGGTTTTAGAGCTCAGATCTGCCACTTAATCCTGGTTTTAGAGCTCAGATCTGTCACTTAATCCTGGTTTTAGAGCTCAGATCTGCCACTTAATCCTGGTTTTAGAGCTCAGTTTGGTCACTTAATCCTGGTTTTGGAGCTCAGATCTGCCACTTAATCCTGGGTTTAGAGCTGAAGGGTTTGCTCAAAAGGGGGAAAAAAAAAAAATCCACAGAAAATTCCCTCAGGAATTCTCCCAAATTCCGAAGGGAGCTCTCGAGTTCCTCGAAGAGCCGCTAATGAACTGCTAATGAAGCCACGGCAGCCCGCATTAATTAGTCCGGTGCTCCTGCAGCTCCCGCGGGCTCAGTTCTTGATGAGGCTGGAATTGGAATCGATCTGCTCCTCCTGGATGGGGATCCGGCAGCTGCTCGCCTCTGGAAAACAGGGAATGCTCCGGGAAATGGGAATGGCTCTGGGAAATGGGAATGGCTCCGGGAAAAATGGGAATGCTCCGGGAAATGGGAATGGCTCAAGGAAAACAGGGAATGGCTCCGGGAAATGGGAATGGCTCTGGGAAATGGGAATGGCTCAAGGAAAACAGGGAATGCTCCGGGAAATGGGAATGGCTCCGGGAAATGGGAATGGCTCTGGGAAATGGGAATGGCTCAAGGAAAACAGGGAATGCTCCGGGAAATGGGAATGCTCCGGGAAAACAGGGAATGGCTCCGGGAAAACAGGGAATGCTCCGGGAAATGGGAATGGCTCCCGGGAAAATGGGAATGGCTCAAGGAAAACAGGGAATGCTCCGGGAAAATGGGAATGTGGTCAGGGAAATGGGAATGTGGTCAGGAAAAACAGGGAATGTGTCCAAGAAAACAGGGAATGTATCCAGGGAAACAAGGAATGTTCCAGGAAAAATGGGAATGGCTCCGGGAAAAACGGGAATGTTCCAGGAAAACAGGGAATGTGTCCAGGGAAAAAACAGGGAATGTGTCCAGGGAAACAGGGAATGCTCGGGAATTTTTTTCCCTGTTTTTTTACCCCATAAAATAGGGAACTCACTGGATTAATTTTTTTCCTGGTTTTTACCCCATAGAAAAGGGAACTCACTGTGCTGGCTGCTCCTCCCAGGCCCATTCCTGGATTTTTTCTGGGCTGCTTAGGAAAAATGGGAATGTGGTCAGGAAAAATGGGAATGTGGTCAGGAAAACAGGGAATGTGTCCAGGGAAAAAACAGGGAATGTGTCCAGGGAAACAGGGAATGTTCGGGAATTTTTTTCCCTGTTTTTTTACCCCATAAAATAGGGAACTCACTGGATTAATTTTTTTCCTGGTTTTTACCCCATAGAAAAGGGAACTCACTGTGCTGGCTGCTCCTCCCAGGCCCATTCCTGGATTTTTTCTGGGCTGCTTGGATGATCAGGAGCAGGATGGAAATTCCACTCACCATCAGCAGGATCAGGCACAGGAGCAGCAGGGATAAAGAGCCTGGAATTAGAATGGAAAAATTCCCTAAAAAACAAAGATTCCTGGTTCTGGATGGATTCTCAGGTTCCACAGGGAGAATCCAGAACTCTGGGAAGTTGTGGAAAATACAGAAAAGGATTCAGAGAAAATGGGATTTCACTTCCCAGGAAAGCAGCTTTACATGGAAATAGAGCAGCTTTACATGGAAATGTGGGATCCTGGAATGTTCTGTGTGAAACACAGAGAAGGATTGAGAGAAATTGGGAATTCCCTTCCCAGGAAAGCAGCTTTACATGGAAATGTGGGATCCTGGAATGTTCTGTGAAATCCAGCTCTGGCTTTTGAGGAAGTGGGAATTCCCTTCCCAGGAAAGCAGCTCCAGCTGGGATTGTGGGATCCTGGAATGTGCTGTGAAATACAGAGAAGGATTCACAGAAAATGGGAATTCCCCTCCCAGGAAAGCAGCTTTACATGGAAATGTGGGATCCTGGAAGGTTGTGTGAAACACAGAGAAGGATTCAGAGAAACTGGGAATTCCCTTCCCAGGAAAGCAGCTTTACATGGAAATGTGGGATCCTGGAATGCTGTGTGAAATACAGAGGAGAATTCAGAGGAAGTGGGAATTCCCTTTCCAAGAAAGCAGACCCAGATGGAAATGTGGGATCCTGGAAGGTTGTATGAAATACAGAGGATTCACAGAAAATGGGAATTCCCTTCCCAGGAAAGCAGACCCAGATGGAAATGTAGGATCCTGGAATGTTCTGTGAAACACAGAAAAGAATTCAGAGAAACTGGGAATTCCCTTCCCAGAAAGCAGACTCAGATGGAAATGTGGGATGCTGGAATGTTCTGTGAAATCCAGCTCTGGCTCTTGAGGAAGTGGGAATTCCATTCCCAGGAAAGCAGCTTTACATGGAAATGTAGGATCCTGGAGTGTGCTGTGAAACACAGAAAAGAATTCAGAGAAACTGGGAATTCCCTTCCCAGGAAAGCAGACCCAGATGGAAATGTGGGATCCTGGAAGGTTGTATGAAATACAGAGGATTCACAGAAAATGGGAATTCCCTTCCCAGGAAAGCAGACCCAGATGGAAATGTAGGATCCTGGAATGTTCTGTGAAACACAGAAAAGAATTCAGAGAAATTGGGAATTCCCTTCCCAGAAAGCAAGCTCAGATGGGAATGTGGGATGCTGGAATGTTCTGTGAAATCCAGCTCTGGCTCTTGAGGAAGGGGGAATTCCCCTCCCAGGGAGCAGCCCCAGCTGGGCTCCCTGCCCGTCCTTACCCCATGCAGGCTCCGTGGGAACGCCGGCATCCCGACAAACCGCGGGGATGTCCCTGGGGCTGGACGCTCTGGAGCTGTTTTCTGGGAATTCCGTGGGAAAGGGGTCCCTGTTTTCTGGGAATTCCGTGGGAAAGGGGCCCCTGTTTCCCGGGAATTCCGTGGGAGGGGGAAGGGGGCCAGGGCTGCTGGCGGTGCCAGGGCTGCTGCTGCACTGGGCATCCTCTGTGGCCGTGCCAGCCCGCAGCGTGCTCTTCCCAAAGCTGCTGCAGCTGGAAAAGAAATCCCAGAGGGTTTGCCCACGTGGAATCATTCCTGAATCCCACCCGCACAACCTCAATCTGTGTTTTGTCCCTACAAATTTAGGATTTTATCCCGACATCCCACAGGAATGGGAGGGATAATTAAATCAGTTGTTGCTGGGAAAAATGATGAGGGATTTTTCCCCCAGCTGATTCTGGCACAGGAATTTTTTGTTCCCAAAAAACATCCGAGAGGTTTTAAATAAAGGTGGAAAATCCTAAAAATCCCTTCAGGATCCTAAAATTCCCAAAGGATGGGATTCATGGCACTTAAATCCAGTTTTATTCCAATTTATTTCTCTGGATTTGGGCTTTTCTTGGAAAAATGAAACCCCCAGAGCTGCTCTGAGCATCCTCCACCCAAAAAGGATTTTTTTTCCCCAAAAAAGGATTTTTTCCCCAAAAAAAAGGATTCCTACTTGGTCCAAGGCTGGCAGTTCTTGTTCCCTCCTCTGGAGAAAGTCCCTTCAGGACATCGGGAGCACTCTGGGAAAAAAGGGATTATCCAGGGAAGTGGCAGAATTCCCAGATTTATCACTGGGTAATTATGGAAATTATCAGGGATTATCAATTATGGAAACTATCCAGGGAAGAGGCAGAATTCCCAGTTTTATCCACTGGATAATTCTGGATTATCCAGGACTATTCATTCTGGATATTATCTGGGAGGATCCCACAATTCCAGCCAGGAATTGCCACACAGGAGGCAGGACTTTGGGAGGGCTGGCACATCCCAGAATTCCAAAGGGAATTCCAGCTGGTCCATGCCTGGACTCACTGCTTCCCAAGGGAATTCCAAATCCTGACTCACCGCTTCCCAAGGGAATTCCCAAGGGAATTCCAAATCCTGACTCATCCCTTCCCAAGGGAATTCCCAAGGGAATTCCAAATCCTGACTCACCGCTTCCCAAGGGAATTCTGGCTGGCTCAAATCCCAGCTATTCCCAAGGGAATTCCAAATCCCAATTCACCCCTTCCCAAGGGAGTTCCAAATCCTGACTCACTGCTTCTCAAGGGAATTCTGGCTGGCTCAAATCCCAACTATTCCCAATGGAATTACAAGTCCCAACACTTACTTCCCAAGGGAATTCCAGTCCCCACTCAGCCCTTCCCAAGGGAATTCCAGACCCCACTCAGCCCTTCCCAAGGGAATTCCAGACCCCACCTTCCCAAGGGAATTCCAAACCCCACCACCTACTTCCCAAGGGAATTCCAGTCCCCACTCAGCCCTTCCCAAGGGAATTCCAGACCCCACTCACCCCTTCCCAAGGGAATTCCAGTCCCCACTCACCCATTCCCAAGGGAATTCCAAATCCTGACTCACCCCTTCCCAAGGGAATTCCAGTCCCCACTCACCCCTTGCCCCAGGAGCCCCCCCGGCTGGCTGGAATCCCGCCTGGCAGGCGCAGACCCTGTCCGAGGTTTTCTCGCACGGCTTCACCTCCACGCTGCCCTTCCCTGGCCAAGGCCAAGAAATTCATTAATTCCTTCATTAACAGCAACAATTAGCTCCTCGGGGGTTGGGGTTTTGTGTGTAGGAATTCAGCAATTTAACAATTAATTCGTGATTTGTAACTGATAATTAATTTAACAACCGAATCGTTCAGTGGTTTTGTTTGAGGACAGCGATTTTCAGGTAGGCCCTCACAACTCGGGGGGGAGCAGCCAGAAAAAGGCCCAAAATGAGATTTTATTCCATCCTAAATTCCCTCAAAAAGGGATTTTTCTCCAAAATGGGATTGTTCCCCCCAAAATAGGGATTTTTTTCCCCTCAGAAAGGGAGTTTTTATCCCAAAATGGGATTTCTCCCCCCAAAAAGGGATTGCTCCCCCCAAAAGGGATTTTTGCCCCCTAAAGAGACATTTTTCCCTCAAAAATTCCCCAGGAAAGGATTTTTTCCCCCCCCAAAAGTGATTTTTTTTCCCCAAAATGGGATTTCTTCCCTCCAAAAAGGGATTCTATCTCCCAAAAGGGATTTTCTCCCCCTTCTCCCAAAATTACTCAAACCTGGTATTTTTTTGTCCGCAAAAAGGCAATTTTTTCCCTCAAAAATGAGACTTCCCCCCCAAAAAAGGGATTTTTTTCCCCAAAATGAGATTTTTTTCCCCCAAATGCCAGCACTCACGGGTGTTGCAGATGGTGCAGCTGTGGCAGAAGCCGTGGTGGTGCCGGGAGCTGAAATATCCATCCTGGCACGGCGAGCACACGGTGTCGGCCGAGGCCGTGCAGCGGCTCCGCATCCTCTCCCCTAAAAGCACCCAAAAATCAGCATTCTGTGGGATCCTGAGGGAAAAAATCCTAAATTTCATCCTTTGGGAACAAACAGTCTGTCACTGGCCTGGGGAGCAGACAGTGTTGGCTGACTCCACATCCTCTCCCCTAAAAAACGCCACAAAAATTGGGATTCAGTGGGGTCCTGAAGGGAAAAATCCTAATTTTTAACCTTGGGAATAAATCAGGTTGGCTGGGATCATGAGGAGAAAAATCCTAAATTTCTCCCTTTGGGATCAAATGGTGCCCAGAATTTTTTTTTGTTAAGAAAAATCCCTGTAAGTTTGGCCAGGAGGAAAAAATCAACATTTAATGGAGCAGATGAAAAGGGCTGGGGAGGGCTGAAATTGGAGAAAATGCTCCAAATTTTTGTCCCAGTGGATCCCAAATATCCCTTCCAGAGTCAGGGAAAAACGTTTAGGAAATGCCCCTGGACCGAGGCATTTAGGAAGAAAAAGACATCAAAAAAAGTTAAAAAACAGTTTCAAAAAGGAAGATTTTTCCCTTTTTTTGGTCTAAAACTTATTTTTATCAGTCTAAAAAGTATTACACTAAGAAAAAATTCGATGTGCCCCTAAAGCCCGGTTCTCGCACCCCAGCCCCGCGGCGGGCACTCACCGGGGGCGCAGTCGCTGCAGCATTTGTCACGGAAGCTGTATTGGTGCTCCTGGCATTGCAAGCCCAGGGAACCGGGAATGGGCACGGATTTAGGAAATGCCCCTGGACGGAGGCATTTAGGAAGCAAAAAGACATCAAAAAAAGTTAAAAACCATTCTCAAAAAGGAAGATATTTCCTTTTTTTTTGGTCTAAAACTTATTTTTATCAGTCTAAAATAGGCATTACACTAAGAAGAAATTCGATGTGCCCCTAAAGCCCGGTTCTCGCACCCCAGCCCCGCGGCGGGCACTCACCGGGGGCGCAGTCGCTGCAGCATTTGTCACGGAAGCTGTATTGGTGCTCCTGGCATTGCAAGCCCAGGGAACCGGGAATGGGCACGGCCAGGAGCCAGCAGAGAGCGGGGAAATTCCAGGGAATCCTTGGAAGCGCCATTCCCACGCAGGGAGCCGTTCCCTCGGGGCACCGTCCCCTCACGGTGCCTTTCCCCTCACGGCGCCTTTCCCCTCACGGAGCCGTTCCTCTCACGGCACCTTTCCACTCACGGAGCCGTTCCCCTCACGGCGCCTTTCCCCTCACGGAGCCGTTCCCCTCACGGAGCCGTTCCCCTCACGGCGCCTTTCCCCTCACGGAGCCGTTCTCCTCACAGTGCCTTTCCCCTCACGGTGCCTTTCCCCTCACGGAGCCTTTCCCCTCACCGCGCCTTTCCCCTCACTGAGCCGTTCCTCTCACGGAGCCTTTCCCCTCACGGAACCGGCTTCTCTCACGGTGCCTTTCCCTTCCCGGTGCTTTTCCTCTCACGGCGCTTTTCCCTTCACAGCGCCTTTCCCCTCACGGTGCCGTTCCTCTCACGGAGCCGTTCCCCTCACGGAGCCGGCTCCTCTCACGGAGCCGTTCCCCTCACGGAGCCGTTCTCCTCACGGCGCCTTTCCCCTCACGGAGCCGTTCTCCTCACGGAGCCGGCTCCTCTCACGGAGCCGTTCTCCTCACGGAGCCGTTCTCCTCACGGTGCTTTTCCTCTCACGGCGCCTTTCCCCTCACACCGCTTTTCCCTGCACGGAGCCGTTCCTCTCACGGAGCCTTTCCCCTCACGGCTCCGTTCCTCTCACGGTGCCGTTCCCCTCACGGAGCCGGCTCCTCTCACGGAGCCGTTCTCCTCACGGAGCCGTTCTCCTCACGGTGCTTTTCCTCTCACGGCGCCTTTCCCCTCATACCGCTTTTCCCTGCACGGAGCCGTTCCTCTCACGGAGCCTTTCCCCTCACGGCTCCGTTCCTCTCACGGTGCCGTTCCCCTCACGGAGCCGGCTCCTCTCACGGTGCTTTTCCCCTCACGGAGCCGGCTCCTGTCACGGCTCCGTTCCCCTCAGGGCGCTGTGAGGGCCCCGAGAGCGGGAACGGCTCCGGGCGGGGACATTTGCGGGAAATTCCCGCTTTTCTCCACGCCCCTTCCCGCTCCCGGTTTGGGGTTTTTCGGCAGGTAAAGGAAATGCTGAGCTAGAGAAGGGTTTAAGGGGTAAAAGGAGCCCTCGAGGGAGGGAAATCCCGATGGGAAGGGCTGGAAAAGCAGGTATGGAGGAGCGCTGTGGGAATGCCCTGGCTGAGGTGGGGAAGTAGTGGGAATTCGGGAATTCAGTTTTCCAGATTGCCGGAGCTGGAGCCAGGAGCTCAGTTAAGCTCTAGGAGAGCTCCCTGGCATCACTGAATCCACAAAATAGTGGGAATGAAGGAATTTCATTTTCCAGCCTATTAGAATGGGACCCAGGATCTCAATTTTAGGTGTTCTAGCTGCTGGAATTGCAGCTTTACCTTCACTGACTCCAGAAAATACTGGAAATTACATATTCCATGCTCACGTTGTCCCAGAATTAAACTGGGATGGTTTTGGCAAAATCTCTTCATAGATAATTACAATTATCAGCTGATTTTACTGGAATTTTTGTGTTTAAACTCATTTTATCAGAGATTATCCATGGAATTGATTCCTCTTATCCCCCTCCCCAGCCCCGACAAACCTTAAAAGCAGCAGAATTTCCAAAGCATGGAGAGAAATATTTAATGGAAAACAAACAAAAAAATGGATATAAAACCTTTTATCCAAGGAATTTAATAAAAACATCAAATAAAGAGCAGGAAAAGGGAAAGAGGGACAGCAGTTCCTGTATTTACATTATATTAAGAATAAATTTAATCAAATAAAACATCTCAGATTTTCAGGAATTCTTTCCCAAAGAGGGGTTTTTCCCAGGAAAGATGGAAGCAGAGGGAAAAATCAATTTTATTTGGGAAAGAGCTCATCCAAAGCCTGGAATTTCCCCCAAATCATCATCAGCAGCTCATTAACAGCATTAATTAACACAGAGTTCATTAATTTTTGCAGTGAATATTAATTAAGCAGCCATCAAACTCCATGGGAATTCCCACTGCTCTGTCCAACAGCTTAAATTCCCAAAAAAACTTCCTAGTTTTTTGATTTTTGACTGAAATCTGATTTTTTTAAAAGCATACTCTCCAATTCCCAGTGCAGATGTCAACAAAACAATGTCATTTTATATTAATTTAATCTTAATTAATGTTACTTGATTTTTTAAAATTTAATTCCAGAAAGTTTTTCTGTAACATTTCAAATAAATTCTTCCCCACAGCTCCCTGAAAAAATTCCATTAAATTCCCAACAACTCTTCAAGAAGTTGAGAAAAACACTGGAATTGAGTGTGGATATTCCCAGGAGGACAAACATTCCTTGGAACCACCAAAATTCCTAAAATTCGACTTTTATTTGGGATCCCCTGCATCAGCAGCTGAGGGAAACAAATATTTAAGGAGTGTCCCAAATGGAATTGGGTGTGGAGGACAAACATTCCTTGGAATCACCATTCCCTTCCCAAAATCCAACCTTTATTTGGGATCCCCTGCATCAGCAGCTGTGAGGGCAATTCCCAGGAGATCAAACATTCCTTGGAATCACCAAAATTCCCAAAATTCGACTTTTATTTGGTATCCCCTGCATCAGCAGCTGTGAGGGCAACAAGGGAATAAATTTCAGGAATTTCCCAAATGGAATTGGGTGTGGAGGACCCAATTCCTTGGAGTCACCGTTCCCTTCCCAAAATCCAACCTTTATTTGGGATCCCCTGGATCAGCAGCTGAAGGAAACCAGGGAATAAATTTAAGGAATTTCCCAAATGGAATTGGGTGTGGAGGACCCAATTCCTTGGAGTCACCGTTCCCTTCCCAAAATCCAACCTTTATTTGGGATCCCCTGGATCAGCAGCTGAAGGAAACCAGGGAATATTCCAGGATCCTCCCCACCCAGAATTCCAGCTGGCTCCAAACCCACAAACCAAGGAGCAAAACTACCTGAATCCAGGAATTTTTTCCAGCAGGAAAAACCCCTCCGAGGAGCTGCAGCCCGCAGGGACGGACGGAAAATCGAGAATCCCGCCGCTCGCTGGACCCTTCTTCCCTGGGATTTCTTCTGGGGGGGTTGGGAGGAGAAGAGAAAGTTCTGGAAGAGGGGGAGGAAGCTCAGAACTCCTCGTGGACGTTGCGGGCGTAGTCCATGAGCTTGCTGCCGGTGAAGTACTCGCTGTACTTGAGGATCTCCTCCAGCTCCAGGTGGTGGTTCTGGTTCTCGTCGGCCACGGCGATCATCTGCCGCGCCTCGTTCAGCGCGTTGTGCTCGTTCATGGGATCCATGTATTCCTGGAAAATGTGGGAAAACCACCTGGGACCAGCCCTGGCTGGGCTCCCAGAATCCCCACCCCAGCCCAAAGTGGGGTGAAGGTCTTTAGGAAGGGTTTCATGGTGGTTTGTAGGCTGCTCCCAAAGAAATCGGGGATTTTTTGGGGTCATTCTGTGAAGTGTTTGTGGAATTTGGGCTCAAATTCCAGTTAAAAATTAAGGATTAGCAATTTGCAGAACCTAAATTCTATTATTTTTCCTGGTTTCTAGGCTGGTCCCAAAGAAATCTGGGATTTTTGGGGTCATTCCAAGGAACATTTCTGGAATTCGGGCTGCAGATTAAACTCAGGATCAAACTCCAATTAAAAATTAATTTTCAGAACACAAATTCTCTCATTTTTCCTGCTTCTTTGGCTGCTCCCACAGAAATCCGGGATTTTTTCGGCTCATTCCAAGGAGTATTTGTGGAATTTGGGCTGCAAATTAAACTCAGGATCAAATTCCAGTTAAAAATGAAAGATCAATTTTCAGGACCTAAACTCTCTCATTTTTCCTGCTTTCTTGACTGTTCCCACAGACTATTTCTAAATGAAACATGAAATTAACACAAAATTAAAATTCAATTAACACGAAATTAAAATTAAACTCAAATCTCCATTTTTTAAATTAAAAAAATGAGCTGTGAGTGAATTTGTGACGTTTCCAAAGCCGTGTTTTGGAATAATGGGCCGGAAAAGGCCGAGGATTCACCTCCAGCTCCTCCATGGTGACGATGCCGTCGTGGTTGGCGTCGATGACCTCCTGGAACTCCTTCCTCCTGTCCCTCACCCAGTCGTCGTCGATGTCCTGGGCCTGCTGGTTCTCCACCGTGCCCACGGGCAGGGAGATGAACTCGGACAGGGTCAGCTTCTTATCCCCGTCCTGGTCTGGGAGAAACACGCGGGTGATAACGGGCTCATTCATTCCCGTGAGAAAAACACAAGGATTTACAATATGTTCATTTAAATCCTGTAAAAATGGGAATTTCCTACTGATCTGTGCAAAAAATTAAAACGGATTTGCTTAAATCCCATTAAAATGGGAATTTCCCCCCGGTCTGTGCAAAAACCAAACCCATCCCAATACCCACATAAACATGGGAATCCATGGGACTCCACCAGACTATTCCATGCAAAACCTTCCCAAAATCCACATAAAAAACAGGAATGCATGGACAGAATTCCCGGGAATCCCAGCTTACCCAGATCGTGGATGATCTCCTGCACCATGAAGTGCAGCACGCCCCAAATACCCACATAAAAACGGGAATCCATGGACAGAATTCCCAGGAATCTATGGAACTCCACCAGACTGCTCCCTCCCAAAATCCACATAAAAATGGGAATCCATGGACAGAATTCCCGGGAATCCATGGAACTCCAGCAGACTGCTCCCTCCCAAAATCCACATAAAAATGGGAATGCATGGACAGAATTCCCAGCTTACCCAGATCACGGACGATCTCCTGCACCATGAAGTGCAGCACGCCCCAAATACCCACATAAAAACGGGAATGCATGGACAGAATTCCCAGCTTACCCAGATCACGGACGATCTCCTGCACCATGAAGTGCAGCATGCCGCGGCTGTGCTCGGGGTGCAGGAAGGACAGGAACTCCTGCTCGCTCAGCAGCAGGTCCGGGGGGGGATTGTCCGCCTGGTACCAGCGATCCTTCAGGTTGTCCAGCACTTCCTGCGCTGCAACGGCACCCGCAGGGCTGGGACTGCATCCCAAACCCTGCACCCGCAGGGCTGGGACTGCAGCTCATCCCAAACCCTGCACCCGCAGGGCTGGGACTGCATCCCAAACCCTGCACCCGCAGGGCTGGGACTGCATCCCAAACCCTGCACCCGCAGGGCTGGGGCTGCATCCCAAACCATGCACCCGCAGGGCTGGGACTGCAGCTCATCCCAAACCCTGCACCCGCAGGGCTGGGACTGCAGCTCATCCCAAACCCTGCACCCGCAGGGCTGGGACTGCAGCTCATCCCAAACCCTGCACCCGCAGGGCTGGGGCTGCATCCCAAACCCTGCACCCGCAGGGCTGGGGCTGCATCCCAAACCCTGCACCCGCAGGGCTGGGACTGCATCCCAAACCCTGCACCCGCAGGGCTGGGACTGCATCCCAAACCCTGCACCCGCAGGGCTGGGACTGCATCCCAAACCCTGCACCCGCAGGGCTGGGACTGCATCCCAAACCCTGCACCCGCAGGGCTGGGACTGCATCCCAAACCCTGCACCCGCAGGGCTGGGACTGCATCCCAAACCCTGCACCCGCAGGGCTGGGACTGCATCCCAAAGGCTGCACCCGCTGGGCCGGCAGTTCATCCCAAACCCTGCACCCGCAGGGCTGGGGCTGCATCCCAAACCCTGCACCCGCAGGGCTGGGACTGCAGCTCATCCCAAACCCTGCACCCGCAGGGCTGGGACTGCAGCTCATCCCAAACCCTGCACCCGCAGGGCTGGGGCTGCATCCCAAAGGCTGCACCCGCAGGGCTGGGACTGCATCCCAAACCCTGCACCCGCAGGGCTGGGACTGCAGCTCACCCCAAAGGCTGCACCTGCAGGGCTGGGATTAGATCCCAAACCCTGCACCCACACAGTTGGGATTGCAGTTTATCCCAAACCCTGCACCCACACAGTTGGGATTGCAGTTTATCCCAAAGGCTACAACTGCCTGGCTTTGGGACTGCAGCTCATCCCAAAGGCTGAGCCCACATGTTTGGGACTGCAGCTCATCTCAAAGGCTGAGCCCACATGTTTGGGATTGCAGCTCATCCCAATGGATAGAACTGCCCCCATCCGTTTTTGGGATTTGGCACAATTCATCCCAAAGGCTGGAACTGCCCTCATCCATCTTTGGGATTTGGCACAATCACATTTTAAAATTTCAGTTGGAACAACCAAGTTGTAGGAATTTCAGTTGTCCCAATCCAATGTTTTAGGATTTCAGTTGCCCTAATCCATTTTTTAGGATTTCAGTTGTCCCAATCCACTTTTAGGATTTCGACTGTCACAGTAAAAAAACCCAAAAATCACTTTTACAGTGTTTGGAGGAGAAGAAAAAACCCCTGAGGAAGTGGAGGATGAATAATTTGGTTTTCCTGCAGAAGATTTTGGGGCTCAGGTGCAGACGTGAGGCGCTGACTCAGCAGCTCTGGGGTTCCTGGAATCAGCCCCAGGTGATTTCCCTGCACATTCTCAGCTCCTTTTTTCTGCATTTCAGGCGTTTTTGCAGCACTGGAAAATGTCAGCGAAGCAATTTGGAAATGACTCATCCCTGCAGGGAAAGGGAAAGGTGCAGGGGGGATTTTACAGGAAACTGAAATGCTCTTTGAAGGGGAAAAACAGGAAAATTCCTCCTAAAAAATCCCATTTTCAGCGCAGATTCCGGTCGGGAGCAATGGGGGATTTGTGTCCTCTGAGTTCAATTTTTGGGGGGAGTTTTGAATAAATTCAAATTTATTTCAGAGGGAAAATGGGGAGATTGCAATTAAAAATTGCAATTTTCATGGCAGATTCTGGGCAGGAACAATGGGATTTGTGTCCTCTGACTTCAATTTTTTGGGGGAGTTTTGAATAAATTCAAATTTATTTCAGGGGGAAAATGGGGAGATTGCCACTAAAAGTTGCAATTTTCATGGCAGATTCCCCTTAAAAATTGCAATTTTCATGGCAAATTCTCCTTAAAAATTGCAATTTTCATGGCAGATTCTGGGCAGGAACAATGTGGGATTTGTGTTCTCTGTCTTCACTTTTTGGGGGGATTTTAGAAGAAATTTGAAAATTTTTTTAGCAGATTCCTCCTACAAATTGCAATTTTCATGGCAGATTCCCCTTAAAAATTGCAATTTTCATGGCAGATTCTGGGCAGGAACAATGTGGGATTTGTGTCTTTTGACTTAATTTTTGGGGGGATTTTAGAATAAATTTAAATATTTCTTTAAGGAAAAAAACAATAACATTCCTCTAAAAAATGTCATTTTCACACCAAATTTTAGGTGGAAAAAAAGCAGATTTTTTTTTTTTAATTAAGGAGGAAACCAGGAAGATTCCTCAAAAAAAAAAATCTAATTTTCACAGCACATTTTACATTAAAAACTGCAGAATTTTTGGTTTATTATTTAACATTTCCCTCCCATTTCTACTTTCAGCCCCAGGTTTTAAGACCAAAATCCCCATTCTGCACTTACTTTCTTCATCTATTTTCAGCTCCTCGTTGTTTTTGATTTTCTCTGCAATTTCCTTCTCATTGAAGCCTTTGCTTGCCAAGAATTTAATTTTGTATTCATCCCAAGAAACGTGACCTGCAATTGAGAACATTTCAACTTGAAATGATGAATTCTGGATTGAATTCTTCCAAAATCAGCAAATTTTAAAGTTTTTTAGTCCACCATCACAACCCCACACTGAATTTTAGGAATGACAACATAAAAGCTGCCAGCTGATTCATTTTTGGGGTTTTTCAGCCATAAAATTTTGTAAAAAATTTGATTTTTTTTTCATTTCTTTATGAAACAAAGAGCTGCCTGCAGCACATCCTTTCCTAAAAATCCAAATTTGAGATTCCCAGCCTAACTTTGATCACAAGAATAAATTCTAGGTGCTAGAAGTGACTTAAAAAGTGGTTTTTTTGAGGGGAAAAATGGTGATTTTACCATCCCCATCAGGATCCACAGCCCTGAAATGCATTTTGTTCTCCTCCACGGCCTCCTGGAAGTGCTCATCTGTTTTCTCCATGATCCAACGCTGCATCTCCTTGGCACTGATTTTTTTATCATTATTTATGTCCACCCTGGGGAGGAAAAACAAACAGGATTTCAGTCTGGAGGTCAGCAGGGAAAGATCTGCTCGGGTTTCAGTTTAAAAATTGTTTTATTCAACAAAAATTCACAGAAAAATGAATATTTTTGAGTCTCTGTGAAAAACAAGTGGCAGATCAGCCTTTAGTTCAGAATTAAATGTAAATAATTTAATTAATTTAATTAAACTTAGCAAGATTTAGGTTATTACTCATTGAATTTTTTTTTTTTACTGGAATTAAATTGTGGTTTTGAGGGAATTTTTCCTGATGGAACTTTGGGTCACTCCAAATTCAGGATTGGAAGCATTTTCTTCCAGACCTTGAATTCTCTCTCAATTTCTCTTTCCAAACCCTTTTTTTTTTCAAATTTAATTGAATTTTTAATTTTTTTACACATTTGAACATTGCACATCCATTTGTTCTCCATGAGTTTTCTGGAATTTCTTGGATTCAGAGCTGCAGAATTCAATTTTTCCTGATTAAAATTATCAGAAAAATCCAATCCAATCAATCCTCAAAATTAATTTAAAAATTACATTTCAAAACCAAAAATAAATCCAAATTTCTGCCACTTTGAAGGGATTTTTTAAGCATGAAATAAATATTCAAAATATCACTAAAAAAATCAGATTTTATTTTGTTACCCTTTCAAATTCTATTTAAAGCATCCCCAACCCACTCTCTGTAATTCAAAATGTCACTAAAAATCAGATTTTATTTTGTTACCCTTTCAAATTCTATTTAAAGCACCTGCAAACCACTTTTTTCAGAAGTCACAGAAAAACCAGAGCTCAAAAGCCCCACTTTGAGGCTGGCCTTTATCTGCTGGCATCACTTGAGTTGTTTTGATTGAAACTTGAATTATTCAAGATGTGATTTGCCTTGAAATGTCAACCAAATGTGAAAAAAGAGATAAACAGCCCCAAAAACTGCAGATTTAGGGAGTTTCAATATCACAGCTTCCACCAGGGAGAGCCTTCTCTCATTTATTTATTATTTCTTCAATAATTACTTGAATGAAATTCTATTGATTCAAGGCAACGTTGGCAGCAAATAAAGCTTTGGAAGTTTATCCCCCTTGTGGTATTAATTGGAGGTGTTTTCATTAAAAAATGCAAATAAAGCCAATTCTGCCACCTGCTGTCTGAAAGTGCTGAAACAAAGCCAAAAAAAAGGGAATTTTATTCAAGAAAATGCTTGAATGTCTTAAAATAAAACTTAGTATTTTTCCACCAAATCAAGAAATTAATTAATTTGTTTTAAAAGCCATTAATGGAAAATATTATCTATTTTCTAAAATTCCCAATTTTGAAATATTAAAACTCCAAATTTTGAACATATTAATTAAAATTCCCAATTCTGAAAACATTAAAATTCCCCATTTTAAAAAAGATTCATTCAAATTTCCAATCTGGAACTATTAAAATCCTTAATTTTGAAGATATTCATTTAAATTCCCGATTTTTAAACATTATTTATTTATATTGACTATATTTTTATATTTCATATTTTTATATTTATATTTTATATTTATATTTTTATACTTTATTATCTTTTTAGCATTCAGTAAGTATCCATATAATATAATATAATATAATATAATATAATATAATATAATATAATATAATATAATATAATATAATATAATATAATATAATATAATATAATATCATGCAGTCAACTGCATTCCTGCTTTGGTTGGGGCATCCCTGCAAATGCAATCCTGACTCCCTGTGGAACCCAGGGCAGGAATATTGCAGGAATATCTCAGGAATATTGCAGGAATATTTCAGGAATATCTCAGGAATATTTCAGGAATATCTCAGGGATATCTCAGGGATATCTCAGGGATATCTCAGGGATATCTCAGGAATATCTCAGGAATATCTCAGGAATATTTCTCTGCCTGCTCTGGGGTCTCCTGACCCCGACCCTCATTCCTGGAGAAAGTTCCCTAAATTCAAGACAGACAGACCCCACAAAAGTGGAAATGGATCACAGAGTGGTGTAGGTGTGTCACTGCTGAGACATTTAGGGTCTGGGATTTGGAGTGTGTGGGGATGGAGGGCACAGGCTGTGGGCCTGGGTTTCTTCTTCCTTCTTCTTCCTTCTTCTTCCTTCTTCTTCCTCCTTCTTCCTCCTTCTTCTTCCTTCTTCTTCCTGGGTTTGGGTGGCATTTTGTAATTGGGCAGAAAAGTTGCATTGCAGCTCTGTGGGATCAGTTATTGGGTTAAAGGGAAAAGTGCCAAAGTTTAGTCCTCAAAGACCTTGTAACAAGAGATTTTTGGCCATTTTGTGCCTTCTAACGAAAAGCTGCAGAACTCACAGCAGTGAGACTGTTTAGTGATAAGAAATAATAAAAACCCGAGCCCAAACATGAACCATCACCTCCAGCACCTTAACCCAGACCCAGACAACCCAACAATGGACCCACTTGGAGAAGATGGCCACGAGCTTCCTCCTGTTGCGGCGGGGCTGCGAGTCCTCCTCGAAGCCGTCGCGCTCCTTGCCCAGGAACACCTCCTGGTGGAACTCCTTGTTCAGGTGCCCGTCCAGCTCCAGCTTGACCCCGTTCAGGTGGTCGGGGGGCAGGATCTCGTTGTCCTCCCTGCCCTCCCCTGCCCTCTCCTTCAGCACCGAGTGGTTGGCAGGCCTGGCGTACACGTCCATCAGGAGGAAGATGAAGAGCAGGGAGAGGTACAGGGAGCCCAAGCTGCACAGGAAAGCTTGTCTTGACATCATTTTGGGGTTTTTTAATGGGTTTTGTCCTTTTTTATTATTTATCGGCTGTTGAAATCACTGTGGGATCTAAAAGGTAAAAAGATAAAAGAACAATTCGACTCTGATGCAAAAGGTCACTGTGGGTTAAAGGATCTAAAAGGAAAAGAAGAGGAAAAACAAACTAAACTTCAAAGCAAGAGGTCATTAATGAACATATAAAAATTAAAATAACCTACACAAAGTATTCATAACTTGCTTATTTACATATAATTATATGTGCTTAACTTATTTATATACACATAAATAGATGTACATAAATGTTTTATATATAGATAGATATAGGTACACAACTTATTTATATACATATAGGTAAATAACTTATTAATATATATATATGTATATATATACATGTTTATATGTGTACTTTAATATATATGTGTATATATATACAAGTGTGTATATATACACTTGCATACATACACACAAGAATAAATTTAGAGAAAGCTACATAAAAATAGAGAAAATTGTAATGCCAGACATTAAAAAAGCATATTAAATAATAAATATATGGCATTAATAGGGGCAGATCCAAGAGAAAGTGGAGCTGGAAACACCCAGGGAACAGCGGCAGGGAGGAGCTGTCACAGAGCCACAAAATCCGAGTGTCCTGCCCTGGAAGTGACACACAGGGGCCATCCCTCCCAATTCCAGGGAAAAACAATCCCAAATCCTGTCACAGAGCCACAAAATCCGAGTGTCCTGCCCTGGAAGTGACACACAGGGGCCATCCCTCCCAATTCCAGGGAAAAAATAATCCGAAATCTATCAGAGAGAGCGCCAAGGAACCCAATCCCCTCAGAGCCCTCAGAGTCCCCAGAACCCCTCAGAATCCCTCGGAACCCTCAGAACTTTCAAAAACCCCCAAACCCCTCAAAGCACTCAGGGCCCTCAGAGCTCCCAGAACCCCTCAGAGGCCTCAAAACCTCTTAGAGCCCTCACAGAGCCCCCCAAAGCCCTCAGAGCACTCAGGGCCCTCAGAACCCCTCAGAGCTCCCAGAACGCCTCAGTGGCCTCAAAACCTCTCAAAGCCCTCAGAACCCCTCACAGCATTCAGGGCCCTCAGAACCCTCAAAATCCTCCAAAGCCCTCAGAGCACTCAGGGCCCTCAGAACCCCTCAGAGTCCCTCAGAGCACTCGGGGCCCTCAGAGCTCCCAAAACCTCTCAGAGGCCTCAAAACCTCTTAGAGCCCTCAGAAACCCCTCAGAGACCCCAGAACCCCTCACAGCATTCAGGGCCCTCAGAACCCTCAAAATCCTCCAAAGCCCTCAGAGCACTCAGGGCCCTCAGAACCCCTCAGAGTCCCTCAGAGCACTCGGGGCCCTCAGAACCCCTCGGAGCCCTCCACGATCCCCGCGGGGCTGCGGGAGGAGCCGCCCGCACTCACCGGGAGCCGCCCGGCAGGGAGCGGACACTGCCCCGAGCGCCGTGACGGCCGCGGGGAGGCTGAGCCGGGCCCGGCCGCCGCTGAGAGCCCCTGACGGCCCTCAGGGAGCCCGGCGCTGCCAGCGGAGGGAGGCGGGAGGAGGCGGATGTTCTGTCACTGCGCCGCGCCGCGGGAAGGCGCGGCTGCCATCTTAGCTGAGGGCACCGCCATTTCCGGCAGACAGGGGCAAAGAGGAGTTTTCCTGGCGGTCCCGTCATTGTCTCCGTTGTTAACATGTTGATGTCCTGCTTCCTGGCTCTGTGTGTGTGGCTGTTTTCATTGAGCTAGGGAATGGTTTGGGTTGGAAGCGGCCTTAAATAACATCTAATGCAAATCCCTTGCCCGAGGCCAGACTGGACACTGAGGCTTGGAGCAGCCTGGGGTAGTGGAAGGTGACCCTGCCCATGGCACCCCTCGGAGCCCTCCACGATCCCCGCGGGGCTGCGGGAGGAGCCGCCCGCACTCACCGGGAGCCGCCCGGCAGGGAGCGGACACTGCCCCGAGCGCCGTGACGGCCGCGGGGAGGCTGAGCCGGGCCCGGCCGCCGCTGAGAGCCCCTGACGGCCCTCAGGGAGCCCGGCGCTGCCAGCGGAGGGAGGCGGGAGGAGGCGGATGTTCTGTCACTGCGCCGCGCCGCGGGAAGGCGCGGCTGCCATCTTAGCTGAGGGCACCGCCATTTCCGGCAGACAGGGGCAAAGAGGAGTTTTCCTGGCGGTCCCGTCATTGTCTCCGTTGTTAACATGTTGATGTCCTGCTTCCTGGCTCTGTGTGTGTGGCTGTTTTCATTGAGCTAGGGAATGGTTTGGGTTGGAAGCGGCCTTAAATAACATCTAATGCAAATCCCTTGCCCGAGGCCAGACTGGACACTGAGGCTTGGAGCAGCCTGGGGGAGTGGAAGGTGACCCTGCCCATGGCGGGGGATGGCACTGAATGGGCTTTGAGCGCATCCAATCTTTTTACCATTCCATGATTCCATGAACACGGCACGGCCAAGGCGCAGCGCCCAAACCCAAGATGGCTCCTGCTCGCACTCACATGCCCTGCTCAAAGATGGCAGCGGCCGCGTCAGGCGCTGCGGCCTCCGCCTCTCCTCCCGCCCCTTCCCCCGGTGCGAGAACCGCCGGAGCCGCGGCCAGAGCAGGGACGGAACCGCCGCTTCCCCGCGGAGAAGGCAGAAAGCTCGGGGAGAGCCATGAAACCACCGCAGCGCGGCGGCGGCGCGCGGTGAGCGCTCCCGCAGAAGCTTTTCCCCTTCTGGTGGCCGTGCCGCCGTTCCCGCCTAAACGCGGCGGGCGTGGCGGCGGCGCCGGCCGTGAGGGGCCCCGCGGCCATGAAGGCACTGCGGCGGCTGAGCCGGCACCGCACCGCGCTGGGGCTCGGCGGGCTCTCGCTCTGCGCCGCCGTCCTGCTCTACCTCGCCAAGTGCACCTCCGAGGGGCTGCGCCCGCTGCCCGCGCCCCCCGCGCTCCCGCACAGCCAGCCCGGCCGCGGGGCCCACGCCGCGCCGCCGGCCGGCCCTGAGGGCAGCGCCTTCGTGGCCGTGGTGGTGATGAGCGGCCCCAAGTACAGCGAGCGGCGCAGCATCATCCGCAGCACCTGGATGGCGGCGGCGCGGCAGGCGCCTCACGGCCACGTCTGGAGCCGCTTCGTGGTGGGCACGGCGGGGCTGAGCGCCGAGGAGCTGCGGAGCCTGGAGCTGGAGCAGAGCCGCCACCGCGACCTGCTGCTGCTGCCGGAGCTGCGCGACTCCTACGAGAACCTCACGGCCAAGGTGCTGGCCACCTACGTGTGGCTGGATGCGCACCTGGACTTCCAGTTCGCCCTCAAGGCGGACGACGACACCTTCGTGCGCTTGGACGTGCTGGTGGAGGAGCTGAGGGCCAAGGAGCCGCGGCGCCTCTACTGGGGCTTCTTCTCGGGCCGCGGGCGGGTGAAATCCGGCGGCAAGTGGAAGGAGAGCGCCTGGCTGCTGTGTGATTATTACCTGCCCTACGCGCTGGGAGGCGGCTACGTGATCTCGGCCGACCTGGTGCGCTACCTGCGCCTCAGCAGCGACTACCTGAACCTGTGGCAGAGCGAGGACGTGTCCCTGGGCGTGTGGCTGGCGCCCATCGACGTGAAGAGGGTGCACGACCCCCGCTTCGACACCGAGTACAAATCGCGCGGCTGCAGCAACAAATACATCGTGACCCACAAGCAGAGCATCGAGGACATGCTGGAGAAGCACCAGACGCTGGCCAAGGAAGGCAGGCTCTGTAAGGAGGAGGTGAAGCTCAGGCTTTCCTACATGTACGACTGGGGAGTGCCGCCCTCGCAGTGCTGCCAGAGGAAGGATGGCATCCCCTGAAAGCCTCGGCAGCAAGGCTCGGGGTGTGGACTCTGCTCGCTGTTACACGGGGAGAATGCCATGAAAATGGAGTTCTTGCCTCAGTTTCTCCCTCAGAACTTTGGGCCAAAAGGCTTTGGGGTGCTGGCGTGGCTGGATTTAGGGAAGAGCAGAATCCTGCAATCTCTGACTCCATATCCAACGACAGACTTCCCAAATGCCAGCCTGGTGCTGTGGGTCCATAATCCCAGCAGAACTGAGAGGGAAGAGCTGCTAAAATTAAATTTTTGCCTCAGTTTCTCCCTCAGAACATTGGGAACAAGCTGTTCCCCTCAGGCGCCGATCCCAAAGGCTTTGGGATGCGGGCCTGGCTGGATTTAGGGAAGAGCAGTTAATTGGAGTCAGGGGTTAATTACTCTTAAAAAGATTTTGCACGACTCGTTCTGTCACTCCCTGAGAGCTGCTGACGTGGCATGGTTAGAGATGCTTAAAAAATCAAATCAAACAGGTGCCAGCAGGCACAGCCAAGGGTCAGATGCCAGCGTTGAAGGCAAATAAAAGGTGGCAAAACACAAAAAGCAGAGAAAATCGGGGGCAGAGAACTGGAATGAAAAGCTGGAACAGATTCTGAGGTTGATTTGCTAAAGGTCATGCTAAGTTTTGATGCTGATAAGACTCAAATGAGGCTGCTGTTTATTGCCTGGCAAGGAAATGCCAGCTTGGCACGGAGGGAAGAGCCCAAACTGGGACCAGAAGATTCCAGAGGGCAGGAAAAGGGATCAGCTTTTCCTGGGAGAGCATTCTGGCAGAGAATGGAATCATTCAATCTATTCATTTATCTTTTTTTTTCTCTCTGAAAGGCAATGGACATAAATCACCTGGCACCCCCAAAGGGAGGTGGCTGAGTTTTGGCAGAAATTCAATTTATTCTTATTTTGGGAGAAGAGTTTTTGGCTTTTCAGAGCCTCCAGGTGTTGTTTTGAGCTCATTTCCCTCCAACACTCACTCAAGAACTCCCTGGCTGCACCACGACTTCAAATTTACATTTATTTTTAATACAAATGAGCAAGAATTGACCAGTGAGAGTTCAAAAACCATTTGCCCAGAGGTGGGGATTTAAGGTGTAAAAGTGAAATTTGTGTAGTCAAGAGAAAAATGTTCCCCCCACCCTAAAAATTCAACTTGGAGAACACACTAAAAATCACATTTAGGTGCTCAAAGCTGAGGGAATTCCCTCCTCCTCTCCAAAAATCCCTTGCAGAGGAACTAAAATGGAATTAATTACCAGTGACTCGTCCAAAATTTGGGTTTTTCCCTCAGTGCTGCCTGCACCAACACAATCAGAGCTCACACAGGACTCAGCCGTGGTTTCTGTACCTCCAAACCTGGAATTCCAACCTTTTCCAGTGGCAGCTGCTCCCGAATTTCAGAATTTCCCAGTCCCCTGTGCCAGCTGCAGCTCTGGTTTTTACTTTGGAAATGTCAAATTCCGTTTTTTAAACGTCTTTTTGTGAGGTTTTTTTGGTGTTTGTTGCACTCTGCACTTTCATTCCCATTGCGTTCCCTCCTTCCCAACTCTGGCTGGAAGAAACAAATGGCACAGAAAAATTGAAAAATAAAAAAAGTGCCGATTTCTCTTTCTTTTTGCTTAGCAAAATTAGGAATTTTAGGAATTAGGAATACCAAAGGGATCAGTTGCATTGTAATTTTATTATTTTGTTATTCTTGGTTTAATTCATTCATTACTGAAGATCAAAAATCTTCAGAAGATATTTTTATTTTGAAAACTTCAAATTTTTGCCCTAAAACAAAACTAAAATCCTGCAAAAACTCGATTATTTTAGCATGTTCAACTCAATTATTATAATTATTATTCTAATAATTATAATTATTATTATAATGCATGCGTGGGGATTACCAGGGAGTATTTTTTCCCCAAATATCCTATTCCAAAGCAGGAATTTTCCAAGATGTCAGCAAATCCCAGTTTTTTAAACATCCATTTGCCATCTGAGGTTCATCAGTGTTGTCTGTATCGTGATGAATTACCTGTAATGTGAATATTTATTTATAATTATATTTATTTCTAATTCTTACCAGTGTATTCTCTTTATTTCCTCAGAAAAAATAAAAATAAATCCATTTATTCCCAGAATAAAATCCATTTCCCCATTATTTTATCCACCTTTACTCTTTTTTCCCAGAAAAAATTACAAATAAATCCATTTATTCCCAGAATAAAATCCATTTTCCCATTATTTTATCCACCTTTACCCTTTCTTCCCAGGAAAATTCCAAATAAATCCATTTATTCCCAGTATAACATCAATTTCCCCATTATTTTATCCACCTTTACTCTTTTTTCCCAGAAAAATTACAAATAAATCCATTTATTCCCATAAAACATAAATTTTCCTATTATTTTACCCATCTGACCCTTTCTTCCCTGGAAAATTCCAAATAAATCCATTTATTCCCAGAATAACATCAATTTCCCCATTATTTTATCCACTTTTACCCTTTTATCTCAGAAAAATTCCAAATAAATCCATTTATTCCCAGAATAACATCCATTTTCCCATTATTTTATCCATTTTCCCCTAGAAAATTCCACCTGGGAAGCAAAATCAAGTGAGGATGAGGCCAAATTATTTTATAAAAAAAAAATTTTCCCCCTTGATTTTCTTGGAATCTTTAATCCCCAACATTCCAATATTTTTTACATCACCTTTCCCCCAAATCCAAACATTCCACCCTCAAACAAAGGTCTCAAACTTCCCTCAAAAATGAAA